CAGGTTTCGCATAAATTGACGAAACTATTTAAGGTTTCGTACGTCATTACAGAACGATTTAGAGTTTAATAGGTTTTAGTCAAACCATTTTAGGTTTCGTAGACCAAAAGGTTTCTACATTTGAAACAAATTCGAAATCTCAAGCAGAAAAAGGTTTTGTTAGGAACCATTTTTTTTAGAGAGTACGATCAATCACTATTTAAATATACTCGTTCTTTACACTAAATCATACAAACGTTTCTGAAATATTTTAGACCAATAATTCCAAACTCATTGGGACGTGATGTTGGATTTCGTTTTGGTGATTATGTTGAAAGTCAAGCAGAAGTATCAGTCACATCACCAATTTCTTTGTCAATGAATATCTCATTTACATTTCGTACACGTTATACACGAGGTCTTTTATTTTATTCTGGCAATAATGGTATGACTTATGGTAGGATATAAATGTTTTGAAAATCAATTTTTTAGAAAACTTTGTGCGATTTTCTTTTATATTAGCACGAGATTCTACAAATGGTGAATTTATTGCTGCTTGGTTAAACAAAGGACGTTTACAGTTTGCATTTGATTGCGGTTCGGGTAAAGCTGAAATTGAAAGTATGGGTCGTTTGAATGACGATCGTTGGCATCGAGTAGATATAATCAGAGAGAAAAATAATGGCACATTATACATTGATAATATTTTGGAAGGTTCTATAATTCCACCAGGTTAGTGATTTAAATTCAACATGATTAAAGCTATTCCCTATTGGTAATTTTATGCGATATTCTCTCTAGGTACAAAAGATTCATTGAATACGGATGGAATATTTCATTTTGGAAATATTCCTTCTACAGAAGAATTTCTGAGTCAAAGACGAAGACAATTACATCATTTTAAACACCAAAAAGGCAATCATCATTTACAATTCATTGGTTGTTTGAGTGCAATTCAAATAGCAAATCAAGACGTAATCTTTCAAACAAATAAAAATAACGGAATTAGTAAATGTCATGAAAATGAAGAATCTGGAATATTTATACATGATGAGAAACCGATTATCTTAGGTAATTCACCCTTTTTCTTAATCTTTAAAATTCACTCTTCAGTCTTCTCTTGTCTTTAGAACAATCTTTTCATCTTGGACAAAAATTTAATTTAAGTCTTCATTTTAAATCTCGTGTAAAAAGTGGTTTACTATTAGCTGTTACAAGTCAAAGTAATGGTGATAATGACCAGGATGATAATGCTAACGAACCAGCATTTTTTGTCGTCTATTTGGATAAAGGCAATGTAGTTGTTACAATTCAAAATAATATTGAAGAATTACATGTTGTACATAGTCCAATTGTTTTCGATAATGAATTATGCGATGGTCAATGGCATTTTCTAGATGTTATCAAAGACTACTCATTTGTACGATTACAAGTTGATGATAAACCGGTAGTAGAAGAAACATCTCTAAATGAACTTGATCTGAATACAAATGGTCCATTATTTATCGGTCGTGTGCCTGAAAATCTTTTGCCATCTATAGTGCAAGATGTCCCACCTTATGTTGGATGTATGACAAATTTGAAATTGATTACATCGGAACAACATGCTCAACCATTGCATTCATTACCTGATGTTGATCATGCTTGTCCTACAAATTAATATTCCATGCAATTATAATAGATTCAATTATTCTTTTAGAAAAGTAATACAATGACATTAATTTTTTTCCTACATTTTTATTTTGACACTTTTATTTCTTGAGAGGCTATTGAACAATAAATAAACATTTAAAAGTTCTACGTTCTTCGAGATGCAAGAATAATAAATAATCAATCTTAATTTAACGACAATATCGCTCCTCCAGGAATTAAAAACTCGCAATATGTTGCTAATATTTTGAAAAAAGAAAATGTTGGCATCCTTGTGCGTGGAAACGATTTTGTCAAAAAAATTGCGCATTTTTTATACAAAGTTCGCAAATTTTCCGCAACGGGTAGACAAAAAAAGCATCAATATGTTATATTATCGGTAAAATAAAAATTCTATAAACGGTTCGAGGTTATCTGCTGACATGTATTCGAAGACTTTGAATATATGCACGGTACAATTTTATCAATTTTTTTGAAATCAGAGTTTCAAACGGGTTCTTAGAACAAAAAACTGCATCTACTCATGTGTTCAAAACTTTCGATATCGAAAAAAATTTTTCAAAAACTTGATCAGCGAAGTGTACCGTTACGTGGACAAGCCGTACAATTCTCGAGATATTTATTATCAGGGGCTTTGTATTGTGTAAAATAGTAAATATAACCATAGTTTGTCAAAAAAAATGAAACATTTGAAGATGGTTATGGTATGATATATAAAAATTCTATTTTCAACAGAAACTACATAGTTCGAGTCCAAAGCGTAATCTGAAAAGACCCGGTAGTTGTTCCAAATTGGTGAAATTTTACCGATATTGGCAGCTCTATATCTGAAAGATCATTAGGAACCATTCTTAAGAAATAGATTAATATAGTGCATGAATTATACATTGCAAAGTAGTATGAAAAGTAAAAATAGGTTCTATCTAGTTAATTAAAGTTTGATTCGCACAGTTGACAGAATATGGAATAAATTTTGAATGACCACTCTCTTTGTTACCCATATATGATAAATGAACGTTCCATAAAAATAGAAAACTTATTCTTTCTTATTTACTTTTTCAAGAGAAATAGTTTAGCTTCGATTCGTTCTTAAGGGTGTTCCATCCTTTGTTTTGATAATATTTTTTATTTTGAATTAAACATAGCGTAATTTGGATGAAAGTCTGGGCTACAAAATGGCACCACTCCCAGCGTTCTACACCCTTCCTTACAAATGTTATGATTTTTTTGAGTTTTCCTTCAAAAGCTGATAAAACTCAATTTTCGAGTTTCATAAACTTTTCTCTCCTTTTCTGTACATACAAAATTTTTTCTTAGACATAGTCTGATTGAAGAAAATGTTCTCTTCACAACGAACGTCTTCCAAAATTTTCTGATGGTTTTTCGTGAAGATATAAGCGTCGCCGTAAATGCCATGAAGAAAACAACCTATGTACAAAATGTATTTTTTCAACAGTCACTTCAATCCAGTCACATTACGCCCTCGATAACTTGATTCGATCGACATCAAAACTTTATCATAAATTCTAGACAACATTGCCCAGGTATAGACTTTTTTTTTGTTCTATCATCTTTTTTTTCAAGTTATCCAAATTTTAAGATGTTTTTCCTGTAACTAGGACAGAAAGGATGATAGAACGAAAAAAAATCTATATCTAGGCAATGTTGCCTAAAATTTATGATAAAGTTTTGAAATCGATCGAATCAAGTTATCAAGGGATCGTAATGGAGCAATAACAAAAACCGAGTTTTCTAGAAAACTCGAGAACCCTAATAGCTACAGAGTTGCAATAAAAATAAAAAGATGCTAAATTGAGTTTTTAAGTAATCCTGGAATGAAGAAGGCTTTGTCATTTTTAATTTCTGCTTGACAATATTTCTAAGGAAAGCCCCAATGGAGGGAGGAGTACATTTTCGATATAAAATGCAATTTTCCAATTGCGTCCTATCTTTCTATGAAGAGAACACCAACTACGTCCTCATAAGGTGTATGCGTCAAACTTTATTACAGATGCTAGTTATCCTTAAACTGTATCAGTCTTATCAAGTATCTCAGAAGAACATGTCGTTCTCAAGCGTATAATGATGACTTTTTTTCGCACGATTCGTATGAAGAAAAGGTTTGGGGGTCGGTTGATAAACTACACATTAGTGGCACTATATATATTGGGTGCTAACTCGATTTTAAAAATAAAAGTGTTTACAATTACACAAAAGTGGCTTCCAGCAGAATAAACAAAAGCAAAAATTCACATCACTTAATATTAATCTGTACTTTTCATACTTTTATTGACTCATTTGTCTATTTTCCACTATATTTCTCCAGTAATAAGTACATAATAGTAATTACTATCGTTTATCTCTAAAACTGATTCAAGATGAGATCTATTCCATCATTCATACGAATGTGAATTGTATTTTGCTTTGATTTTTTATCTAAATTCTGGAAGTATACTCTAGTGAATGTACTTGAGACCAAGTACTTAGAAAAGTACTTGGGTAGGTAATGTCGAGAGTACCTGGAATTTTTTGCAGGTAAAAAAGGTACTTATCAAGTAATTTGACAAGTAATGAGTGGCCCAGAAATAATGACACACTTTTGTAGCTTATTTCCGTACACTTAACTGAGGTTTTAAGACTCTATTATAGGCTCATTTGATAGAGAATTTTCTGCTCTACAGAATCCATTACTTTCTTTCATTATATATTATTTTATTATCTAAAAAGATTGTGTAGAGTAAGGACACGTAAAAAGTATAACTGCGCTTTACTATCAAAATTTTGATGGCTTTTTGGCTTTTGTGTAATTTTTCGACAAATAATATAGTAACTGAGAAAAGAGGGTCCTGTAAAAATGTTCAGTGAATTGAGGACAATCATCCAGATTACGCTGCTTTTTCGTTTTGTCACTTAAATTGTAAATATTTTAGTGCACAAGTTAATTAGTGCTTTCTGACAACGTGAGATTTTGAAAAAAGCATGGAAAGGACTAATCAAATGACGCTGTATACGTGTGCGATATAGAGGGTTTTGTAGAGCAGAAAATCGTTTGTCTTCTGAAGTCAAAACGAATTCTTGAAAATATACGATATACAGACAAAAGTAGGTACATCAATAACCCCATAATCTTAGAACCAGTTGTTGTTAGTGACTAAATGTTAGAAAAAATATTATTTTTCAATGTGAATTAATTAAATCAAGACGATTTCCTTACGCATAGTATCTGTGATAAATAGCTGACAGAAATACTATTCAATAATCAATTACGTCTAATACAAAAAAATACAAGCTGTTTCATTTGTCGCAGTTATAGTTTGTACGACCTTACTCTACACAATTTTTTTAGATAATAAAATAATATATAATGAAAGAACGTAATGAATTTCGTAGAGCAGAAAATTCTCTATCAAATGAGCCTAAACTCGATCTTAAACCTCAGTTAAATGCACGGAAATACGTGGCACAAGTGTGTCATTACTTCTGGACCACCCGTTATAAATATCAGATAAGTACTGTATCAAGTATTTGGCAGATAACCTGATAAGTACTTGAGAAATATATGCAAGTATCCGAAGCTTTTTCAAGCACTTGGCACGTATTAAATCTAAAGATGCTTGACAAGTGCTTAACCAAGTACTTTAGTAAATTTGCAAGTAGCTAAGTGCTTGATCTCAAGTACATTCACTAGGGTATATCTGTGAACGTCTTTTCAATAAGTGCGCGACATCTTTCTAATAGACTGTCTATAAGAATGAGTAAAGTTGAAAATAATTTGTTTTCATATTGAAGTTCATTTTAAACTAGTTTTGACACGAAGCGACAAGTTACTCGTGTCCTTTTCGAGAACCGGTACCGACCACTCCGCAGTCGTGTGATTACGTCCATTTAATCTATCTATCTATATCCATATTTTATATGATAATGTAACATCAAGGTCACACGTGACAAATAGAACATCGAAATGGCGGTCGTGGTAACAACATTGTACTCCTCAAGCATCGTGGTATCTAGCTGCTGGGATTAACGCTTTCCTCGCAAAAGGAAAAAATCTCGAAGAAGGCTAAAGATGAAAAAAATGTTCTGATTTATAAAAACTAAAGTATTTCGAATAATTCATCCGTACCCATCTCTTCAATAGTGTTTAAAAATCGGCGATTATCGCGCTTTTCTGAAAAGCCGTCGTTTAATCGCAATATGTCGGCGACTGTTTTGTATAATGTGATTAAACGTTGATTATTTTGCAAGTCGCGATTGCTCAAAACATCCCTGACTAATCGCGATTAGTTGCCGATTTTGGGTTTTCTAGTCATTCACCATACCGTTGATAAAGTATATAATAAACATGAATTTTGACGGCAATTGTCTCTTTTTTTCGGTTTAATCTTTTCTTGTAGATTGATGTTTTTCGGAAATGCGCTTAGTGTGTTCTTCGTGATCTCATCAGAGCTGACTCGTTGTTTCGACAAGGGTCAGCTTTTGAATCAAGGGGCCCGATGAACAACTAGAACTCTGGGCAGTGTCTAAAACCGATTAATCGGATGACGAGGCTCCGAGTAGTCGACACTATCGTAAGAAAGTCATTCAAGTGTAAAACAATGAAAACAAAGCAAAAAAAGAAATTTCTCATAGAGGGACTCGATCCTAGGAAAAATCGTTTGATTACTCGTGACTAAGCGCCAGAAGTTGCTAAAAAAGTCGCAAAAATATCGCGGCAATCGAACGCCAAGTGACGTAAAAGTCGACGATTTTTAAGCGCTTAATACCACATGAGTGGTCCTTATGATAGCAAAATCGAAAAACACTTTGCAAAAAATGATTTTTACTCTGAAAATCAAAAAAATCCCTAGGTTCTGCACTAATTTCCTTATGAACCCCCGATCTCATTGGTGTAGTCCTACGCTAAATCATAGTATAAAGAGACAATAAGAGCTGCATATTTGTCTGACCAAGCTGTATTGAATAAATTAAATAATAAAAATAAAATCTTTATCAGAATCTGAAGAAAAACAATAGCATAATTATAAACGACAAAACGGCTACCAATAAGTTTTCAAATACTCCAGCTTGATTTCACCTTGCTATACATGAAAATGAAGAAATTGGGAGAAATCAAGAATATTAGGCATATCAGTCTAAAAAGATGTTTGAACGACATATTTTATGTCTCGATTTCCTCCTAATATCAACGCACTAACACGAGGTGGGTCAAGACTAGACATCCATAAATTTTATCTATAAATCTCTACTATCGCCGTAAAATTTGAAAATTTTACGTTAATAGTATAGTAGAGATTTATGGATAAAATTTATGGATGCCTAGTCTTGACCCACGAGTTGTGTGTCAACAACGTGAACGGAGAAGTCAATGAACGTGTAGAATAGCAGAAATTAAAAAAAAGAGAGTTGTCGTACCTAATTTAGAAGTTTAAGTGAAAAAAACTTTCCTTTAAATTTAGTTATGGTTCAATTAAAAATCTCTGTACGAAATTACTTTCCAGTGAGCAGTATTAAGACAACAAAATGACGTCTGAACGGTTAAAAGCGCCATCTGAATCATTGTCCAAGGGTTCAACCAATCATATTTTAGAGTTGCCCCTGATATGAAGTTAAGATACGCTAAGCACACAGCGTTAACAACGACATGACTTTACGTTGACATTAGCGTTTTGTGCCTAACTTTTGCACGTGTTGAGTATCTTAACTCTATTACGCATTGTCATTTTCATGCACATGTTTCTGGCAGCTAACTTCTTGTAACGGGTACGCCGTCACTGAACTAGTTGTCCGGCACGCTCATGATTGGGCAGAAAAGTCATCCAATTTTCTGGACCATATATGATTCAGAAAAGTGAATGATTTTCCGTCTGTTGATGTGATCAAACTGACAAAGTATAGGTATTTAATAATTTGAAAGACCCCTTGTGACCGACCTCTGCTAGATTATCCGTGGATTATCCACAGATGCACAGCGTAGACGAAAGAAACTGCCTTTTTAGGATAAGAGAGAAAGATCAAATAATAATAAATGTAATTAATTCGTTGAATTAATTAATTTGTTGAAAACGGTTAGTGTGAGCCTCCCATAGAAGTGTTATGTTAAAAGTTGGTTGAGAATTTCTCTGTTAATGGATTATATAATTCGCACTGCAAGATTATCTTCCATAATCTGAGAAAGTATCTCTTGGGAGATACCTCTGTTCTCTGTATTAACCGTTTTGTTTTGGTTTTCCAGATTTTCCATTTTTCTTTTCGAATCTAACAGTGATGCCCACAGATAATGCAACAAATGCCAATGCATGGCATCAGTTACCGTTGCCAAAAACCATAACAACAGCTCAAACAACATCCCTACAAGTAATATCGATATCTAAATTTTCGCAAGTGAAAAAACTGTTCATCTTTCTTTTTCATTTAGGCAAACAATGCAAATGATTGGCCTAGTCTTTCACAAGCTACTACAGCGTGTGAAAAACTGCCAAAAGAAGTAGGCTATTATACATATTTGAATATGTATTTTATCTGACTTTTTTTTTTAAAGAAAAAGACACCTGTGATTCCACATTCAGGAAAAAAAGCAGATGAAACGACAACAATAAATGAAAATGAAATGTTGGCAGAGAGAAAAACGATGCCAGAATCTCCTATCGATACCGGAACAGAGATAACAGTTGCAAAAACTGAAAACTTAGATAATAATGTTTTGACAAATGAAACCACAAAAATATCGGAGACCAATAACACAAATATTTCTGACAATAATCAAAATCAAGAAAATACTGTTTCTGCCAAAGCAAACGATGCTTCTGTTCTTCCTGATACAGCAAATACAGCTTCCACTGGTCCAAAAACGCCAAAAAAGAAAGGTATTCAATGAGAGAGTGAGAAAGAAGGTAGTTATTCGACAACAGACGTGATGTTCCTTGCTTCATACAATTATAGCAAAACAAAAGTGGATACCACTTGTTATCGATCAACAAGCTGCAGTATCCTCAACAGCGACTGCAAACGCATCAGTAAGAGGTGCTCGTGGTGCTGGTCGTGGAGGACGTACGCGAACACGAAGTTTAGATGGTAATGTAGATAACTAACAGCGTACGTTGCTCTCATTCTATGATTACTTTTATTTTTTCCAGGCGGAGCTTCATTTTCAAGACGCGGTGGTTTGGGCCGAGTTCGTGGATATTATAATTACGATTATTATTCTGGATGTAAATAGTCGCTTATTTGTTATTGTCTATGAAAAAGGACTTTCCTTGTCTTGATCCAATGTTCTGTCTTTTCGTCCTCAAAATTGAAACTTGGCTTCGCATCACTAAAGTCACCTTTTTTTTCTCAGCACAAATTTTAAAAATGAAATGTAGTTTTTAGTGAAAATGACTAAGCTTCCAAAATATTGCAACTGACGTCGTATTTTATCATGAAGCTTATTTGTTCGTATTAAACGGTTATGCTATTTTTTAAGACTATCCCAGGCGAGGCCGAGGTAGCTGGCATTACGAATCGTACAATAAACGAAAGAAAAAAGAATCTGCAACTGAACAAAATGCTGGTATGCATCTTTTTTTTCTCGGTGTATATCTAACTGTTAACATCGAATGAAAATTGACTAAAAACTTTAATGCATTATTTTTGTAGTTTCCAATACTGAAACAGATGGAACAGTGACAAGTAGTACTATAACAACACCAGCAATTCCTTCCACGACATCTGTGACAAAACGTGAAAGTCGTAACAATTTTCATAAATTTATTTTCGATGATGAAGTTACTGTTGTTGATGATTGTTCATTTGTTCTGCCATACATAGCAGACAATACTGGAAATAATAACGGTATTTATTATTATCCACAAGATGAACAGCTACTTGAAACAGCCACATATACTCATAGTCAATTACGAGATTTTGTTCGACGTCAAGTGTAAGAAAATCAAAAATATAATTTTATAGAAATAAGATGATCTGTTTTTATTCATTTCAGAGAATATTATTTTAGTGATGAAAATTTAGAAGTCGATATTTATCTAAGACGAAAAATGTCTAAAGATGGTTATGTACCATTATCATTGATAGCCGGTTTTAATCGTGTTAAATCATTATGTGAAGATTTCAACTTGATTGTTGAGGTAGAAAGTAGTCTTAATATAAAAGTAAGCGGTTTGATTTTTATCAATTATTATTTTGTAGGCAGTAACAAACAGTGATATTATCGAAATGACAGATAAATGTATGGTACGTTGTCGTAAAAATCCTACAAAATGGCCACTTGTATTTGATGGTATTGATCCAAATGTACTTTCATTAAATCCAGAAGTACCAGAATTTCAACCGGGAAAATTATGGAAAACAGGCAATGAAAGTAAGTACCATAACGTTGTTAATATAAAATAATGATATAATTTTTCTGAACACAACTTACAGATCAAAATGACTTTGGTGTTCAATATAATGTAATAGGTTCAATGAAACCGGAAAATCAAAAGAAAATACCAGCTGAAACAACATGGCAAGTTGTTCCTGCAAAGAAGAAAAAAGCTGTTAAGAAAAAGGTAAATTTTTCATAATGCATATTCAAAACCATATGCCTTATTTTTATGTTGTTTAGGAGAAAAAAGATCAACAACAAACTGATGATGATATAACAAATGATACGAGAGAAGAACTGGAGTTTAAATTCGATGAAGAACTACCATCGAGTTCTAATAAATCAATCTTAACCCCAAGCAATATACCAAAACGTCGTAGAGCAAATTCATTGAATCTTCATTTTCCCGATACATTGTAAGATACAACGTCTATTTTTATTTCTATGTAAGTTTTATGTTGTTCTGTTTTCAGAGGCGACGAATCAGAATTTGACTTAGCTGATGATGATATTGATAAAATACTGATTATAACTCCTACACCACCATCGACACGTAAACAACAACAGATTAATCGCAGTGCTGACTATCATAACACAAGAGCTAAGATGACATCTGAAATGGCAAAAATAATTGATGATGGTTTGAGATGGTATGAAGAAGAATTATGGCAAAGACCCGCAAGTTCAATGGTATTTCTTTTTATTGGTTATTTCTGTAAAACTTCAGCGTGCATTCAATTTCTTTTTGACAAACCCGAGAAAAGTTCCGAAGAATAAGTTTTCTTTTTAGTTGTTGTAACGATTTATGTGTTGTTAAATAGTTTTACTTGTTAATCAAGCCAGAACGCCTATTTTTCTTGTCAATCCATTCTTTTATTTTGATTTCAGGTTGAAGATAAACCCAGTGACAAAACAGTGAAATTAATAACACAAGAAGAAATGGATTTAATGAGAAATAAGAATAGTGAACCACAACCAATATTAGTGGAAAACGAAGATAACGTTGATATGGACGACGTAAAAGCAGCGCAAACTAACAGAGGTCTGTATGCTGTTTGTTAACAGCTAAAAGGAATTCTATATGTTGATACAGATGGAAAATTATCAAACTGAAAAGCGTTGTTCACTGTAGTATTTGAATGAGATATGTCATTCGGTTTTTTAATATATTTAGAAAAAGCTTCAGTTGAAAATAAATCACAACGATCAGCAACAATACCTATCAGTATACCTCCTCAACAAGAACCATTTTTTCGACCAAAATATATACCACCACTTAGTGCTCAACACGATCTGGTATCACATTCATTACCAAACGATTTGAAAAATCCTCAATCATCTACTATAACTTCTACAACAACGACAATACACGAAAATAATGATCAACAACAGCAGTCATCTAGCAATACTCAACAAGAACCACGCACTCCACATTCACGCGCTCGGCATCAGGCAAGATTTTATCCAGTGACAAAAGAACCAACAGTTATTGAATCAAATGTAAGTAAAAACAAATGGTCAAGTGATTTTTACTTATCTTTTAATGTTTAATCCTATTTTGTTTTAAAGACTCCTCATCTCAAAAGAAAAACACGCCACAGTGAGAATCCACCAGTGGAAAGTTCTGTTGGTTGGGTATTTGATTCTCGTGGACATTTATCGTCAAAACCTCGAAGTAATACTGTAACAGGACAACAAACATCAAATTCGGCAACGTAGGTTTTACGGTTTTTTCTGACTGAAATTGACTACTCTCAGAATGAGAAACTTGGTAGCCTTATAATAAGAACTACTACTGATCAATTTTTAGATGAACTAGAACGAGTCGTGGGTAAGGTTAATCAACTAATTTTCTTTCCTAAATTTTGTTGTTGTCTAGTATCTGTGACGTAAAATTTGTGCTTTTTGTAAAGAGTGAACGGACTCTTCAGTAAATTTTTATAGTTTGCTATTGTTCAATTTCTTGTTCTAAACAATAGTAGTTTCTGTTCAGTATGTTCAAGAAAGATAGATTTAATGAATAGTTACTTCGTTTTTTGCTCTAGAAATCGTCAAGACTACAACTATGATCAATATCAGAATTCTGATTATGGAGAATATTATGATTATGATAGTAGATATAATTACAATTATGAGTATTACAACGATTATAATTATTCACAATCATACGGAACAACTCCCGTCGAGATACCACATTTTCAACATCCATCATATTCGTTATTAGAACAAAACGGTTTCACACAACAAGTGTATGCTAAGTATAAACACCGCTGTCTTGAAGAACGAAAACAACTTGGACATGGTCAATCAATGGAAATGAATACACTCTATCGTTTTTGGTCCTTTTTCTTGCGAGAAAATTTTAATCATCGAATGTATACCGAGTTTAAACAATATGCAGTTGAAGATGCAAAAAGTGGAAATAGGTAACTATAATCTCAATAGGTGTTAAATCGTAAACTTTTCGTTCGAAAACAGCTAATGAGTGAGTGATATTGGGCTGGCATAGGTTAGTTGCTAGTGAACGACAGCTTTTGCTTCTCATAGATCACTGTTATTTTCTGTTTTAGATATGGTTTAGAATGTTTATTTCGATTTTTCACTTATGGCTTAGAACATCATTTTCGACATGAAGTATTTAAAGATTTTGAAGATGAAACATTGAGAGATCATGAAGCCGGTAAGATTTCTTGCCAATTTTTTCTCTGGAGCAGCGTTTTCGATATAACTCTGACGAATGAAGAGAGAATGGGGAATATTCTAGTGAGTAACTAAAAGCCACAATTACTGGTTTCATTTAGTGAAATCAACGTAACAAAAGAACAGTAGTTACTCACTTTTGCCAGATTGACTTACCCAATGGGGGTCCTCTCTGTTATCGATCGAAAAAAATTAGCACGTATCAAAACTTTTGAAGGAGCGAGAACTCTCTCTTTCCTTAATTGGAATTGCTGCTCTTAGATACTTCTTTTCATCGTGTATACATCTGTTACTAAATTTGTTTGTTTGCAGGTCAATTATATGGATTAGAAAAGTTTTGGGCTTTTTTGAAATATTCGAAACGTAATCCTGTCATAAATCCAAAATTACAAGATATTCTAAAAAATTACAAACGATTAGAAGATTTTCGTATTGATGGCGCAAGTTTTCCACAGCAGTGGTATCCCGGTAAAACGGGTATTAAAGTAAGTATTTTTCTAATCTTCTTTTTATCTTATTTGATATCCATCTGTTTCCTTCTTTAGACTGCACCTGCACCAGAAGCAGCAGCAGCAGCAGCAGCTTTAAAAGACAACGACAAAAATACAACAATAATGACAAGTGGTGGAAATAATCCTTCATCGACTGCAACTAATGTGAACGATGGTGCTCCAATAAGTCGTCATCAACGACATAACAATCGTCGCACAATATCCGAACGTTGATAGATTGAAACTTTATGTATATTTGTGTATTGTCTTTGTTTTTTGACTTGTAATTTCTTTTCATCTCGTTATTGTGTGATCTTTGTTGTATTAACAAAAAAACTATGTTCAGGGGATAATTTGTTGATTTTTTTTTTGAAACTTCAATCAATGTATTTCTATTGTGTGTAAAACGGTGTTTGACAAATGAAAAAAGATCTTTTTTTCTTTGTATGCTCTAAAACTGGTGCTCTGTCTGTTTTATACTTTTGCTGTCTTTCTTTCATACATATATATGTGGTGATTTTGTTCTGCGTGTTTCTTTTGTTCTGAGCACGTATATTATCTTAGCATATCTTATTGAACTTGTCGTGTATGTCTCTCTCGTTTTTTGCTTATATTTCATTCAAAAGACTTGTAAATATGTTTTTTTCTCTCCTCTAGTTGATAGTTTAACAGATGATGTATATGCATTCACTACATGGCAGGTACAGACACGTCGTTATTTTGTGTTATCTGTTATTTTTCTTCAGCTTCTTGATAATCAAATAAACCAAAAATCAACAACGAAATGTAATTAAATGAATAGGCAGTACTATATAGATGATTGACGTTGTAACAACGTTGCAAAAATTTTGAACATTCCGTTTTGTTTATGTTACTCTTTCTAGAACTGAACTATGGCGTTCACTTCACGCTTGTTTAATACAATAGGTAAATTTGGTTTGGGAATAGCTGTCGCTGGTGGTGTCATTAACTCTATGCTATACAATGGTAAGATTCAATAGATTTCTCATAACTGATATATATTATACTTGCCATTTTATAGTCGATGGTGGCCATCGTGCAGTTATCTTTGATCGATTTCAAGGAGTAAAACCCGATGTTATTGGAGAAGGCACACACTTTATGATTCCATGGTTACATAAACCGATTATATTTGATATTCGTACAAGACCAAGATCAGTTCCATCTATAACAGGAACAAAAGGTAGACTATTTTTGTATTCACATGTCAACGAATAACATCAATTTTCAAAAAAAACCTGTTTATTTTTTAGATTTACAAACAGTCAATATAACATTGCGTATACTATATCGGCCAAGAGCTGAATTTTTACCAAAAATATTCACTAATCTCGGTTTGGATTACGAAGAACGTGTATTACCCTCAATTACAAATGAAGTTTTGAAATCTGTTGTTGTACGTGCAAATTCATTTTACTGTACTTTTTATTTGAAATGTAAACTTTATTTTAGGCTCAGTTTGATGCTATTGAATTAATAACTCAACGTACATTGATATCGCAACGCGTCAGTGAACTATTAACAGAACGTGCATCTCAATTTGGATTATTATTAGATGATATTTCAATTGTAAGTGATACTTTGCTTTGACGTTATATATAAATTCTAGTTCTTTTGATTTTAGACACATTTGACATTTGGTCCGGAATTTACCACTGCCGTTGAAGCTAAACAAGTTGCTCAACAAGATGCAGAAAAACAACGTTTTCTTGTTGAAAAGGTAAGTTTAAATATGTAGCAATATATGTATATTACATTATTTTCTATTTTTAAGGCCGAACAAACTCGTCAGGCAAATGTTATTGCAGCTGAGGGAGATGCTAGAGCAGCAGATTTGATCGGTCGTGCGTTGGGTGAAGCTGGAGATGGTAAGTTTTTACACATTGATACTGCTAATTATAGTAAAAAGATTCTCATACAATATCGTTGCTGAATTACACTTACTGATTCGCACAACAGATATCTAAACACATCTTATCGTTTTAGGTATAATTGAACTTCGTCGAATAGAAGCTGCCGAAGATATTGCAACACAACTAGCAAAGTCAAGAAATATTGTGTATTTACCACATGGTCCACAAATGCTCTTAAATATTTCTGCTGGTACTTAAGGAATAAACATGCACCAGATAATAAATAACTTTAGATCAATTTTTTTCATTGAGCATTTTCTTTTCTATTCTATTCTATTCTTTGTTACATCTTTAAATCAAGATTGTTATTGTTTTCTATCAGTGAACACATTCTTTTTCGATATCCTTTTTTGTTATGCGAAATTGACTACGATTTTCTTTTGTATTCATCCTTTTCTAACTGTATTCGCAAGTTGTTCTAGAAAAAAACAAGTACTTTGTTGCCTGTTCTATTTGTAAGATATGAGCAAGATCATATTTCTGAGAGAAAAAACATTAGAAAAACAATATGTAGCGTGCAGGTTATTACCGTTATAACTGTATTTCTAAGTTTATAATAGACGCTGATAATAAATGAACGGAGTTATACGAAATCTAACAACGAGTAATGCGATAGTAAATAGTCGGTTTCCTTGCTGATGTTCTAAAACAGCAGTACTTTTAATGCGACATTCTAATTGTGCCTTTGAAGGTCTTAAGATCATGAGAATTTTTTGTAATAAATATTTATTTAAGCTATGCCAGAAGACATCTACAATTGAAGCATGATTAAATAGGATTACTGGATTTAGCTTGTTATCATACTGTTTGAGTAAACATTTTACAACAGAAACTGTCTAAAAGGAGTTTTAGCACCAAATAGTCGTAATATTAATCGAAACTACTTTTATGAAAATCAGCTATAAAAGAAAACGTTCTATTTTTATGAAGTTGTCTCTGTGTCTACTTTAGATGTGTAAATTCAAGATAGAATAAACGAAAATAGTTAAGTCTGGTTTATATGAAAGTGGCAATGCACTTAACCGCAATTAAACACAAATCAATTCAATTATTTCAATGCTTAGTGATAATTCAACAGTTTGAGAGATGTTCCTCACCATTTTCAAGATTTCTATTATTATCGACGCGAAAAAGTTGATCCCATGACAGTCTTATAAACTACTATCCATTTCAATGAACAGTGCACTCGGTTGTAAGTTGAATAACTCCAGAACGAAAGCAGCTGAAGACTTGTGGTTTTCAGCATTCGAAAGAGAGTCATATTTTTTGTTTGAACGAAACATGTTTCGTTCAGGAGTTATAAGTATTTTCTCGAGAGCCCCAGACGGCATTTTCAGTGATGTTCGGAGTTTTTCGACCCTTCATCGAAGTCAAATCGCCGTTGAAAGTATATATTCGGAATCAGCATGCAAAACTGCGTCAAGTGACATGTCTTTAATCTTCATTTGATGACTTTTATTTTTTCACCACGTACATGCCATGATCCACAGAGCGGTATGATAGTTTAGTGACAAAAATGAAAAAAAATGAAAGTCATCAAATGAAGACCAATCAAATTTGACATTTACATATAAAAAATATGACTCTCTTTCGAATGCTAAAACCCGCAAGTCTCTAGCTGCTTTCGTTCTGGAGTTATTCAACTTACAACCGAGTGCACTGTTCATTGAAATGGATAGTAGTTCTTTATCCCATTGAGATTACTAAGCAAGAAGTATCAGTTGATTATTATTGGTCAAATTATTTAATCCGTTATAAAATTATTTAAGTCATTTATATGTATCAGAAATAGTTAAAGTAAGATTTCACTTCATCTTACCCAAAGATCATATAATTGGAATTGATTAATTACTTATTGCGAATAACTTTGGTGAAACTGATGATCATAACTTTGGACGTCGATGTTAGCTCACTCTAACGCCATTATTGAACAGTTCTCGTGTGACATCAGTTATACTAAAAAATATGAAAGCAGAAAACCACGTTCATTTTTATTATATGTGACAGACTTGTTCATCATAAATGGAGCGTTGGTATTCTCATACCCAGCTAAAAAAAACGTGATTATCATCTATCATATTTTTTAGAATACTTATGGTATTTATGAAGGTACTTGAGAAAGTTATCGTTCTATTAGAAGTAGGTGTGATCTTCTGCAGGGACTGTATAATTGTGATCACTGCTGAAAAAACAAAGTCTAACGTAGGAAGTATAGATGGATGAGGAAGATCTAACACGATTTTAAGATCGCATTCGCGATTGAAAGTTAATGATGGAGTTAAAATATTTTTTCGTACTTGTTCGGTTTTATCCAGAGTAAATTATCATACATACCTTTTCATCTCGTTAATCACAACTTTTCTGAGATAAAATGTTGTTACAACGAAAATTGTCCAGTCTGTTGACAGTATAACATAAATCTTTTATTTGATTTCCACTCATCAGATATGTTTTGATGAACTGGACACTGAACGTGAACTATCATCATCATTGATTTACGTTTATTTATTTATTTATTCTCGGTGGCAAAGAAAAAGGGCATAGACGAAACCTGAAGTCTTATAAACGCCTACCCCATGATTAAAGTCTGTATACCATCATTAATTATGAAAATAAGATTCATGCTCAGTATGGTAAAAGATCTGTGATATCACATTGACTGATATTTTCAGCTAGGTTGTCTTTGAATTTTTCTCTCATATATGATCGTTCATATCACATATTAAACTTTTTCAATTTATTGCTTTTTTGTAGATAATACAGTGATAAAAATACAAATACTATGAACGACTAGCTAGATTAATGGCACAAAATATTATTATTCAAGTGGGGCAATGTGGAAGTATGTAAGTTTTAATCAAATACTTTTTTCAAAATTTTTAAAAGTAACTCTTCTTTGTCCTTAGATCAAATTGGTTCTCGTTTTTGGGATCTGGCACTACGTGAACATTCATCAACAATGAAAAAAGAATGTTTATACGACGCTTCATTAAATGCATTTTTTCGTAATGTGGATAAATCGAATTTACAAGATTTAAGTTATCCATCGACAATATGTAATTTAAAAGCACGTGCGTTACTTATTGATATGGAAGAAGGTGTGGTAAAATCAATATTACAAAGTCAATTAAAAGATCTATTTGATGGACAACAATTTATCAAAGATGTTAGTGGAGCAGGAAATAATTGGGCAGTTGGTAATCGAATGTATGGTGAAAAATATCGCACATCACTTGAAAATGAAATACGACGACAAACAGAAATGGCAGATTCATTGCAAAGTTTTATGATTATACATTCAATGGTAAATTGATAGAACGATCTATGGAAGAATTGTACCATAAATAAGACAATTTTTTCACGTATTTTTAGGGAGGTGGAACAGGCAGTGGTTTGGGTACATACATTCTTGAATTATTAGAAGAACATTATCCCAAAGTCTGTCGTATTGTCACACCGGTTTATCCGAGTGAAGATGATGATGTTATTACATCACCTTACAATTCAGTATTAGCAACACAAAAATTAATTGAATATGCCGATTGTGTATTGCCTATTGATAACGATTCATTAATAACAATTATTAATCGAATATATTCATCATCATCAACAACAAATAAAGACCAACAACAAACGCTCATTAATGATGGAGCTACAGGAAAGAAAACAAAACAGAAACCGTTTGATGAAATGAATAATATTGTTGCCAATTTATTGTTAAATTTGACGAGTTCATCACGTTTTGATGGAGCGTTAAACGTTGATTTAAGCGAAATACCAATGAATTTAGTACCCTATCCGAAATTACATTTTTTATTAACATCACAAGTACCGTTATATGTTTCAAATAAAAAATATTTACAAATAAGAAATATTAATCAAATGTTTAAAGATTCATTGATGCCCTATACTCAATCATTGAATGCTTATCCACAAAAAGGTGTTTATGTTGCGTGTGGAATGATTATACGTGGAGATACAATAAATATGTCGGATATTAGAAGAAATATTGATTTATTAAGAAAAAATTCAATGAAATTTGTCAAATGGAATGAAGATGGATGGAAAATTGGTCTCTGTAAAATACCTCCAATCGGTTTACCTTATTCATTATTGACACTAAGTAATAATACGTGTATTAAAGATACATTTATTGATTTAAAAAATCGTTTTCTAACATTATATAAACGAAAAGCTCATGTACATCATTATACAAAAGATAAATATATTGATTTAGATGATTTTCAACATAGTCTAGATGCTTTAAATAATTTAATAGAACAATATGATGAAATTAATCGTACAAGTGGATTTGAAACAGAGAGCGATTCATTCTCAGGAGCTATACCAAGATTGAAAATTTTATCTTAGATTCGATATCGTCTACTGACTGTCCATTTTTTGTCAGATTTCTTTTTTTATATATGACTTTTCTTTTTATATATATATTTATTTTTTTTTAATTTGTGAATGAATTGAATAAATAAACTGTCAAATACAATCAGAGCGTTGAATTATAAACCGTTATAAATTTTCGCTATTAGAAGTTAAGCTCATACTAAAATTCTATATAAAATCATTACATTTGATGTCATGTTGAGGAATAAAATTGATCACCTGAAAAGTTTTTTCAACCATGTCAAATTGTCGTTCGTGTAAGAGACATGTGAACGTAACAGGTGTATGATTCAGTTTATATTTAAAATTTTTCTATGACTAATACTATTTATTAGCTATTCTCACTTTTTTAGTTAAAAGAATGACCGCAGTCCCACTATACTCTTGTTCGTTGTTGTTATTTTTTTCGGTCTAAAATATACATAAAAAGAAAAAGAAAGCACTCATGTCCTTCTTTATGAAGAAAATACATATGAGAGATAAAATCAGTTTGAAGATAGATATTTTGGATTATTCTACTTGTTTCTTATTTCTTTTTAATATAAATTTTAAATATTTTTATTTGATATGTGTGTGACATTTGAGATAATATACAAAAATATATCTTGCTATGTGACAGCGCGCTCCTACTGTCTACTTCTTTATTTATTTTGTTTTTACTTTTCACTTTCAAAGTCGAGTCATCTTTAGAACATTAGAATTGTCTCATAAAGTAAAATTTTTGAAATCTATTGGACTTTGGAAAACACCACTCATCATGTTTAGATCAAAAACCAAAAAAGTTTTCTTTTCTAATATATAGATGAAAGAGCGAGCCTAGATTCAGAATCGGTGTCATTTTTAGTCAGAGCCACCTTGGAATGGTGAAAAACTTAATTTTTTTATTGAACACCATGTGTTTTGAGGCTCATTTTTGACTATGTGTTTTCCCGCTCAATCATTGATACTTGATATTTGAAATAAAAAATTTTATGCTGTTAAACTGAGCATTTGTCGTTGTATATTTTATTGTACCAGAAAATTTGTAGTAGAATTACTCAGAAATTAAGTTGTATTTAAATGAAATAGTTTCATTTTTCTTCTAGATAAAATGCATTTTATCAAAGCCTATCTTTCATGCTTGTGGTTATTAGTTCTATGTGTTGCTGTTAGTCAATCCGTAAGCATATAAATGATCCATATAAATATTAATCAGTTTATCAAATGTCTAGTTCGACAAACTTTATAGTTCACCGATGAGTGTTTAGAAACAGCATGGCCTCCGAATCCTACGCGTTCGATTACCACATATGTTGTTGATTTGGATGAACCGGCTCATCAACGATGGGCGTCAATTGCTGCTATGTACAAAGTTCAAGTATGTTTAATGTATTTTGAACTAAATAAGTTTAATAAATTTACTGTTTTTGCTTTAAGATAAAAGATTTAGTCGATTACATCAAAGTATTCGTTCTCAAAATATCTCCAAAATTACAATTTTTAATTGATTTAGTTGATACAAAATTGGTAAATTGAACATTTTGAAATAATTTTATAATATTGATGAATATTATTTATTATTTTAGCCAGAAATGGCTGACACATTCCCGAGTCCCTATGGTGATGAAATTAAAGGCATTAGTGAAGCATCAGGAATTAATTTGGGTATTAGAATATTGTAACAAAACACAATATTTTATTAAAAATTTCTCGATTTTTTTTCTAGGCGAAGTTGTTTTATATAACGTTTTCTATGAAATATTTACATTGTGTACATCAAGTACGTTCGGGATGTTTTTTTTTGAGTCTTTTATAAACTAGAACTTTGTTATTTTTTTATCCAGTTGTTGCTCAAGATGAAAATGGAAAAATGTACCATGGCCGAAATCTTGATTTTGGTTTACTGTTAGGGTTCGTATGAATTTTTATTTTTTATTTAAATATATAAGTAATGTCGAGATTTTCCTTGTTTTTAGATGGGATTTTGCAAACGATACATGGGCATTATCAGAGAAATTAAGACCGCTAATATTACAAGTTAATTTTACACAAAATGGTCAAGTTCTGTATAAAACAACAACCTTTGCTGGGTACGTCTTTTACGTTTTATGTTTTTGAGAGTATATAATTGAATAATTGATTGTTTATCTTAATTCAGATATGTTGGAATAATTACGGGTATCAAACCAAATCATTTTTCGTAAGTAGACAGAAGTAATTGATGAAGAAAAACAACATCTATTTCAATGTTGTTCGTATAGTATCACAATGAATGAACGGTATGGAATACAAGGTGGTTATATTGGTTTAATCGAATGGATATTTAACATTAATCGACAGCAATCCTTTGTAACATTCGCTATGCGTGATATGCTCGCAACAGCGGATACATTTGCTAGTGCTGTTGAATATTTGTCAAAAACTCCACTATTAGCACCATGTTACTACATTTTAGCTGGACCTGAAGCTGGCCAAGTACGTGTTCTGTTTATTTACTGATCTTTTTATTGTTGCTTCTCATTTTTCAGGGTGTTATTATAACACGTTCACGTAAAAATGCTGATAATATCACACTACTTGGCAAAGATAATTCATGGTTTCTTATTCAAACAAATTATGATCATTGGAAAAAGCCACCATTCTACGATGATCGAGTAACACCAGCAACTAATTGTATGAATAAATATGGTGCACAAAATGTAACATTTCCATCCTTATTCAATGTATTCTCATCAAGACCTGTATTAAACAAAGTAAGGTTTTTTTGTTTATATGAAGATTCAATATAAGAAATTATTAATGTTTTTCGTTTTAGTTAACTGTATATACAGCCCTAATGGAATTATCAACCGGACATTTAGAATCTTATTGGCAATATTGTGAAGATCCGTGTTTTCCGTGGTGAACATATGTGAATAGACTGGTAATTTTAACATTCCACTAATTTTTTTTTATAGCTTTAGGCTTATTGTTTTCTTTTCTTTAGTTGAGGTTGTCAATATTTTAATTAAGATAATTAGTCATGACTATTATTTATTTGTATTTTTTTATTGAAAATATCTATTTTTATACTTGTATCGTGTCAATTACGATCATTCTCAAAAAAGTGAATAAAAATGCATTTGAAGATACTTAATAGATACCTACAGCTTGTGCTGGATCATGCACTGTTTTCGAAAACCAGTAGCTTTTTAGAAAAGTAACCAACGTTCACCTTTCTTCCACCTCGAAAATCGAACATTCAACATTATTCACGTAAGAACATCTATTAATTAAAACTAAAAAAACTAAAAACTTCTTAATATTTTTGAAAATTCTACACTTTGAAAGACTCGAACTAGTCTATTCTGGTGAGGTACTGTAAAAAGTGATTCAGCCTTCCATTTCTAACAGTTTTTCAACAATCCAAAAGAAAGTGAACATGTTTATCTGTCCTTTTTTATGTCAAATGAAACCGTATAAGAGTGGAAAACGATTAAGAAAAGCCAACTTGCTGACTGAAAAAATGTATCTAATTTTTCTTGGAAAAAGAACCATATAAAAAAATTCTTATGACAAGAGAACCAAAATAATGATGATATGAGCCAACAATATCTTGTTTATGAATGTTCCGCACGAATAAAAGAAAATGAGAAAATTTGACAACTCACATTAATCACTATACAAAAAACTTGATCACACTGATAATCGAATCGACGAGAAAAAGAAGAAAATATATATTTTTTGTTGCTATAATCAAAAAATAGTTCAAAAATTAAATTGTTCGCTGAATGAGTATTACTCATTTAGAATACAACAAGTAGCTAGTGAATTGTCTTAATCTTGAAAATTTCAAGCAATACAATTAAAAAGTAAGATGTTTTATTTTATATTCTCTGCTCTTTGAAATCATCGCTTAAACCTTTTCTTTAGTTCGAGAGTTGATTGTCTAACGGCAGATTTAATATGATTTTTATATATGTATTATGCTTGGAACATGAAGTAAATTGTGAATTTTATTCGTGTTTTATTTAATAGTTCTCAGGAGTTCAAAGTGGAAAATACTTGTTAATGAACATAGTAATACGTCAAATATTTCTCTATACTCTGGTATAATAATCTTCTGAAAATATTTTCAGCAGTTTTTGAGACAGATCCCGAATATGGATAGTCCGTTCGAATGTCTCTTTTTATCGCACTCCACATAAGATGAGGTATTCCATTTAAATGCAAGAAATTTTAATCAACAAATCATCGTTAATTAAGTTTCAAAGATATATTTCATAATACACACATCATTTGACGAAATATATAAGAATAAACTTAAAACAAAGCGTACTAATTGAAAAATGAAATGTAAATATCATGATTAACTAATCATAGTTAATCATGATATTTACAGCAGTTTTATATTTCATTTTTCAATTATTCTCTAATTCAATTGCGTTACCAAATCAATTCTTATCAAAGCGTACTAGTTCATCAATCATTCTTTTGTATTTATTCAAAGCACAAACACAATCTGAGCTTTCGACCTACACAGTGGGTCATTTCAAAGATTAATGAGAAAGTGAAAAGGAGACGAATATATGCAAAATTCTTCTTTTCGTTCTAATTTGTCTTTTTCAAACATTTCAGTGCAAGGGGAGAAAACACTGCTGTTGTCGCATTGCAATGTTTGAAAAAGACAAATTAGAACGAAAAGAAGAATTTTGCATATATTCGTCTTCTTTTCACTTTCTCATTAATCTTTAAATGACCCACTGTGTAGGTCGAAAGCTCAGATTGTGTTTGTGTTTTGAATAAATACAAAAAAATAATTGATGAACTAACTAGTGCGCTTTGTTTTAAATATATGTCGTAGTATTGTCTGTACTTTACAATTATGAGCTCATTTTATCGGAAAGTTACTTCTGCTAAACGGTAGATGTTTGCATCTATAAACTCCATTTATTGCCACGGGCTTTCTATTTTCATCACAGTGCGTAAAAACTGAAAAAGGAACCGTTGATTGTGTGATAATCAGCTTGAAACAAAAATAAGCTCAAAATCATAGAGTAGAAAAAAGATCCCTGCGTGCTGCAAAATGAGGTAATTTCGACCTATATATCTCTGAAACTTAATTAACAACGATTTGTTGATTAAAATACATGCATTTAAATGGAATACCTCATCTTATTCTGAGTGCGATAAAAAAGAGACATTCGAACGGACTATCCATATTCGGGATCTGTCTCAAAAACGGCTGAAAATATTTTCAGAAGATTATTATACCAGAGTATAAAGAAATGTTTGACTGATCATCATGTTCATTGGTAAGTATTTTCCACTTTGAACTCCTGAGAACTACCAAACATAAATGGCAATTTTAAAAAGTGGCAAAAAAAGTTTTGTCTTAACCTATTTTAATATAACATATCATAGAAATGAACAAATCGAACGACAAACAGTGCAATTATCAGTCCTTCAAGAAGCGAAGGGGTATTTGTAGTGGATGAATTTATTTCAATTAATCTATTTAGAAAATTTTTGAAATAAATCTTAAGGATGAGTTTTCTTTATTTTGTAATAAATGTCAACTGAATAAAAAAACTATATGACATCCAAATATAAATGTGTCAATTACGCTTTCTCAGCAGATACAGATTTTTCAATAAAGTACTAATGATTTATATCAAGTTTTATTGTTAATTTTTACCTCCTTGGATAGTCGTTAACAAACAGTTATCCATTCTCAGATATATGTCCATCAAGACTCAAATAACAGTTTTATGAGTAACAAGTCATTGTCATAGATATATTATCTGACAACTTAGGACAAGTTGTCTTTTCTTTTTTATTAGAGAATATCGTTTATTTAGTTGTTGTTTCTATTACTATAGTACAGAAAAAAGTATGCATCCAGAGGCATAGTAAATATATGACGAGTAATATTATCTTGGAAATGTAACAATATGCGCAACATTATTTATATTTCGACATCAAAGGACACAATGACAAGTATATTATTCTGATAATAAAGAATACAATTGTTTTAGAAGAAGATAGATGGACGATCTATTCGTATCCTCAGTGGTTCAAATGATGTGGAAAAAATATTTCTGTTGTCTATATTTTTTTTCTTTTTATTCTTCTATGAAAAGAATATTTTTTCCACAACAAATTCTGTGTTATTGACTGTGTTGGAAGAAATTACTGAATATTATCTCTAATAGTAAATATGGCTACGCTCATCAATCAGAGAAATTTAAGTAAGCATTTATAATAAATCAACAAATTTAATTTCACTTTAAATGAAGAAAATTATTCATAGAATTCTTAATTGCCTAATTATCTCCTACTATAGACGTAAGCATACACCAGTTATATAACTGATGTGCAATTCGTTGACAAAACTCCTCTCTTTTATTCTTTAGCTTTTTGTTCAGTGTAGATAGATCAAACATTTCTCTACAAAATAAAACGTTTCGCAAGTCAAAGTGACTCTTAATAACCGTGTTATAACAAATTTCTTGGATATCCCAAAAACCGTTAGAAAGAACTGGTCTATAACTGGTGCATATCTTCAGTTAGACGTTAACTATAAAACTGTAACTGCATAACTGTCACAACTGGATTAACACGGAATTTTATACAAATATATTATAAACCGAGACCAAAATGCTAAAAACGTTTTTCACCGGTTTTACACTTCTCAATTGCAGTTGTGACAGTTATGCAGTTACTGTTTTCAGCAGTTATAGTTATCGATAGTATTACAGTTTTACAACTACAGTTAACTGGCAAAAACCTGTAACTGGTGCATACATTGAGTGGAAAAAGTGGTCGTCTACTTTAATTTTTAGTATTTCTTCATAACTATAATAGCCAGATCAAATCTAGAAAAAACTCTTAAATAGCGGAAAGAGTTTTCTGTCTGAAAATGCGTGCATGAGAACTTGTTTAAAGTTACTATAAACATGGTTTCTGGAAAACTAGGTACCAGAGTTCAATCAAATTTTTCCAAATAACTCGGTCGCATAGAGCAGACAAAATGAGGCGTGAAGAGTCTGTTAACTCTTCATGACCTTTTTTCAGGAAACTGCATGCAGATTATGAAAGGCTCTGAAGGCGTACTTTTCATGTTTCTCTACTTCACGATCTACGGCCTTTCATAATCTACATGCAGTTTCCTGAAAAAAGATCGTGAAGAGTTAAGAGACGCCTCATTTTGTAAACCATGTTTATAGTAACTTTAAACGAGTTCTCATGCACACATCTTCAGATAAGAAACTCTTTCCACTATAAAGATTGTTTTTAGAGTTATTCTGGCACTAGTCGACGATCCACTCCGTTTGAAAAACTGAATGATGTCATATCAGGACTAAATCAGAATCAGAATTAGCTCTAAAAAAAACTAAAAATTATTTCTTACAAAAAGTTTTTGTCTTCCCTTTTGCTTCTTACTGATTCACGGCTGAATATCTTTATCAGTTAGTTTAGGACTGACTCAAATAACCACATAATACTAAGGACTTACAAAGTGCGCTTGATAATAACGGTAATATCTTTCTACTCAAGATAATACTGAAAAAAATTTAGAATAGTACAAAAATTAGATCAAATGCCTATTACAAATATTTAAGTGCAGAGTTTAGAAATAATGTTTATTATTTATAGACAGCTTTTTCTTCTAATAGTTGATTCAGAGCTGAAAAATCTGATTAAGAAACTGTCTTTTTCAGTCCTGATTTCATCACCAGATTCAAAGTTGAATGAGCTTTAATCTTTGAATCAGAACACACATTTTAATGAGATCTGATTCAGTCCTGACAAAATTGCACAACTTTTTAGACCGGGCCGATCGTCGACTAGTGAATCATTATGATTAAGGAGAGAAATGAAAAACAAAAAAAAAAAGTAGTCGATCACTTTTTCCACCCACTATATAGGTATACGTAATGACCTACTAACAAAAAAATCTATATAGAATATAAATAAGATTCATAACTAATTTAAGGGATCACGTAAATTATAACGCTCTAATGGAAGAAATTCGAGTTACTCTTCCACTGTAAGGTTTGTTCAGAAAACTTATTTTGTGAAATGTATAAGAAAAAACAGCATTTTCCGGACAAGTGTTTTTATTTATATGTGAGCAGATGTGTTTTTTGTGTAATATATTCTTCAAAGGAAAAGGATTAACTTTGTTTAAATCATGAATAAGTGCAAAGTTCATCAGGATTTAATTTGCATGAGAGATGAAGTGAAAATAAGCTATATTAGATGACATGCCATCGAAAAATTCTTTGCTTTATATGAGAAGAAGAAGAGAAAATAAAAAGAATAAAGATATTTGTACAATTTGCAATTCAAAATATCGTTTAGTCAATTCGAGCATAAATATATATACTTTGAATAAGAGTAAGTAGAGAAATAATTGGATACTTATTGTAAGTCAGCATACTTCAAAATTTGATTCTTTCTTAAATTTTTAAAACTAGACTGTTTATCGACACATAATTCAGACTTCTTATATACCTACTGTTCATCACGATATATCATACAGTTTAATGGTGTATTTTTTTAATCAAATATTATACCAGTATGAAACTTAACTGAATGGAAAAAAATAAATTTTAGATTATAACTTCATATTTCTTTCTGTTCTGGGAATGCACTTCATTCACTCGTGAACCTTATTGGTACCTTCACAAAACCATCATCTTCCACAAAACAGTAAATAACTTTAGTTTAAAATAGTATGTTAACTTAGAAAGAGCGAAGATTATGTCAGAAGACGTAAGTACATAGATTGTATATTAACATTAAGAAGTTAGATCAAGTTTAGTTTAGGAGAAAGAAACTTATAATGAATAAAATAGAATGCAATTAACCGTGAACATATTGTAATGCATCTCCATGTATAATTAAAATAACTATTGTTTTCGAATGAGAGTTTTAATAGAAATAAATAATAGACAGACAAATAAATGATGCGAAACATATCTAATAGAATGCAGTACAAGTTTAGCTCAGCATGATAGAAGTGCACAACCGATATAGATATAGAAAAAAAGTAATATTTTTGTAAAAGAAAAGGTTCATTTGATAAATTATATATTCTGCTCATAATATGCAATGACAAATGTATAGTCTACTTATCCTGAGGCAGAAATAGGTGAATAAAATAATTTATACAACATACGTAACACATTTAATAAGTCTCTTCGTATTTTTTTTCACACATATCACGTATGGAGCAGGTTAGTGCAGCCGGTTTATATTTTCAGCTCGTGAGGATATATAGTTGGAAAAAGATACATCGGAAAAACGCAGAGCAGAAACTTCTGAAAACTAAAATTCCTAATAAAAAATCATGAAAGATAGAAATTTTTAAAACAAAGTAAAAGGATGAAAAACATCTTTTTCACATTTTAATGAAATTTTAGCTAATTATTTCATTTCAGTCTAGTTCATTAGCTTCGTATTCTTAGTCCTAATATATTTTTTATCCATTTAACAACAGAAGAGATTGCTCCTGGAAATAGAATGCACGCATTATTTCTCATATCTGCACTTTAAGAAAAACATGCGATTTAGGATCAAATTAAGCCGCATTAATGTGCCTTATTTTCACAGAATAAGGCACATTAATGCGACTTAATTTGATCCTAAATCGCACTTTTTTTAGAGTGCACGATGAACTAGTGACCTATGCCTGAGCGTTAGGTGCATCTGATTTCTCTTTCATTGGTCTCTTTTATTGACAGACAGAAGCAATTGAGAAAAACGCATCTGAATGTATCTAGTCTTACGTTAATCCAAAAAAGTTTTCAATGAGAAAATTGTCAAAGATACCCATAAGTGTAGCACTATTCGTTCCATATTATTACCATCAAACTATATAAACCAACCAGCAAAGTCAGACGTTCATAGCATAATAATTTTTCGCATCAATCTTTACTTGTTATTGTTAATTGACGAATTTGATTCGATTAACTTTCATAATTTTTCTAATATAATCATATCTGTCCAGGATAACTTTTCGGAATGACACGTACACGTAAAGTAGGAAAGAATTATAAAGTGAAGAAAAATTCGAGAACAAGATGTTGAAAAATTGAGTTCTTTATTGATGTGTGAGCGAGAAAGTGTTTTCATTTTGACCTCTTTCTCCAAACACATAAAATACGCCAAAAAAACCTACGAAAAAAGCCTTTTTTCAGGAGAGTTACTTGTCAGAAACAGAGTATCTTCTGAAAAACTTTTGTAACTAGTTGTTAGAAACCGACATCAAACTGTTGCACAGACTTCATTAGAGTAAAATTTTATTTGAAGTTTTTTAACGCGAAAGATGCAGCGAACACAACAAAATAGATATCATTATCAATGGCCGTTTAATCGCTGAGTGTGAGCATACAGATATAACTGAAGCCATAGAAGGACGTCTGAGAGTAATGAAATTATCACAAAAGGATTAAAATGAAAACAAACAGTATACTGAAACGGAATTACAGCAAAACGATATAAAACAATATGAGGAAAAGTTGTTTTTAAACGAAAGAAAATGGAGCTCGAGAATTGATTATTCGGAACTCGAAATATGATAAAACTCATATTGACAAGAATATAGAGTATGAACTGAAAGAAAAATAAAAGAGGAAAGAATTCAATTCTAAAAAGATTATGAACGTTCTTACATCTGGAAAACATGAAACTATCCATATAGCGTGTGATTCTAAGCGAAGCCAGTTTTCGCTAAAATTTGAACGAACAATGGTAGAGTAGCGATATATTAAAATGATAGAATCCTATCAGGTACAATCATCCAATAAACTAGTTCAATGTCAATTTTATTTCTTCTACGTAGTTTATCCATAAGTATAATAAAAAATCTTTGCTTTCATTTTCTTAGCATATTCATTCTCGTATCACGGGTGTGATATTAAACGATTATCAAACGCGCTTCGCTCGAAACGTGCCATATTCAACATTATCAAAGCCAATATCCGTATCATTAAGTATTCCTAAAGAAATTTATCCGACTACATCTCAATCACCACCAACATCATTAAAATTTTCATCAAATATACGTTCGTCTTCTTATCCATTTATATCTTACTCGTCAAATAATTGTGATTTTTTATTCATCTTCGTCTTCATTCACATCGTGTAATTGTCGTTATCGTTGTTTAAACCGTTCAATACCAGAAAAAGTCAATTTTTCATATGATAAACACAAATGTATTTTTATTCGAAATCAACCGAAAATATCAGACAATTATGATCATTTGAATACTAAAACATTGAACAATATAAAATATCGACAAAATAATAATAGATTATATAATTCATATTCAAGAACATCTCGTAACGATCAACAATGTCTCGGTACGTAAGAACAACAGTCTTACCACTTAACCAATAAACTAAGTCGAGCATCACTATCAAAGAAAAGAATTGATTATCGTTTGAAATTATCAGAAATTAGCAGAAATAATGTTAAGCGATATTGATGATGATTTAATTTTACCAAATATTCGTCAATTACTTGCATCATTTGAGCTCATATGTCCCGGATTATATAGAATTCATTGTCATGATTCAATCCATATTTTAAATGAAATAATGTGTCTGGCCGTAGAATGGCTTAATATTCAACAAGTTTACACAGCTGAAGAATTATTATCGAATGAAAATTTATTTAATAATTATGAAAAAAGAATAAATCATTCGAGAATGATATCATTAACAGATGAAACAGACAATGAACATGAGATAGTTAAATGTTACGGAAATGGGATTCAAGCATTAAAAAATCAACTAAATCAATTCACAATGTTTTGTTTTGAAACAAATACTTATATAAGAAAACCTGATTTAGCTGTTAAAATCAGCAACAATCATGAAAATGATTCTCTTCCAGTTGAGTTGAGTTATATAAACACATACAATAATAAAAATATCTATTCATGCACATATATTCCAAAACATGAAGGCACATATAAAATATCAATATTTTATAAAACTAGACCATTATTAAAACAACCGTACACTGTATTGATTCGACATCGATCATCATCATCATCAGCAACAAAAATGAAAGTACAGCAACAAAACGAAAAATCGAATCATCAAGAAGTCATCATAACACCAGCAGTACACGGACCAGGTAAATATTTGATCATTGTCGTTTCTTCATATTCAACTCAAATCTCCGACACAGGAGTATTTTTACAAGATTTATATACCCTAAAAGTATTTTATCTAATATTTCTGTCTTTATTTATTTTGAGCCATTCATTCTTTTAAAGACTAACTTTTCTCTTTCATTTCCACTAATTTCACATTTAATATCAAAGAGCTAGACAAAAATTATTTTCACTCACCATACAAATTTAAAACAAAAAAAAATTTAAAAATTTCAGTATCTCTAGTATTTTTTTCTTCAAATTCTGAACTTAATATCATAAATTTGATAGAGAAAGATGAAGAATTTTCTGCTCTATCAACCAACCTTTCTATATCATATAATAGTTCGGCTTTTATTTTTAATTTTTTCTCAGGAATTGAAAACACGTCTATACAAGTGAGTCATCCACAATGGTTTGAAGTTGATTGTAGTAAATCAGATTTGAAAGGTAGTTTAATAGAAGTCATTATTGTCGATTCACTCTCGAGTAAACCATCGTCTTACGCACACGCCTCTATCGAACCGCTTGGAAATCAGAAATTTCGCTGTGATTACTCAGTTTCACAAGCAGGTATGTCATACGGTACGATACGTTCATCCTTTTGTCTAATTGTTATACAATTTCTAGGTCTCTATAATATTATTATTTTTCAAGCTGGTAAACCTCTGTCAATCAGTCCGATAAAACTTTTAGTGATAGAACCTCAAACAACAATTTCATCCTCGTCTTCTTGCCAGTTAGATGCTCCACTCGATTATAAATCACCTATTAGTATGAAAAATAATAATAATCAAAAATTTTTTGCATATGGCCCGGGATTACGATGTGGTTATCAAACCTATCCAGCCGTCTTCTATGTTGATTTCAGCGGTTATACCGAAGGTTATTTAGAATTTTTAATAAATAATTCGCGTGTCACGTCTGTCGTTAACTACGAAAATCAATTTGCTGAAGTTTGTTATTGGCCTGACATTACCGGCGATTTACCTCTACATATATTATTTTGTAATGAAGATCTTGAAATATCACCGATTATTTCGAAAATAACCACACTCGCGATCCCCATGTCTTCTGATCATCCACCAAAAATATCTGTTAGTGGTCCCGGTTTTACACCGAATGATGATGTTGTGATCGTTGGCAAAGAAGTTGAATTTAAAATTAATCTTGATAGACAACATGTCAATTGGGAATTGAATGTGGAAATATATGATCAAGATTACACCATTGTTCCCATCAAACTTCAAAAACAAAATGATTTAACATACATTTGTTCGTATATGCCGTCAAAATTATGTAAATATACGATCAGTATTGATTATGGTCATATTATCATTCCGGAGGGAAATCCGTTCAGAATTAGACCGTTATCAAAACAAATCGAACTATCTGGACCAGCATTTACAGAAAAAATATTAAGTTTACATTCAGAAACCCATTTCTGTTTGAATTTAAAAGCTATAACGCGCAAACGAAAAACAGAACAACATTTAAAATCAATATCTATTCTCGGTAAAGATTGTGAAAGTGGCTATAGTTCGAATGATGATACAACATCCGCCGAGAATACTGCATTGTCAGATAATGAACCATACAAAATAACAATTAGAGACGAGAAAGGACAAATAAAACCAATCAATATCAATGAATTAAGTAACGATAATTTACGTGTCAATTTTACGCCTGATTCAGAAGTGACTTACATCAATGTATCTGTTATGTGGTGATCACTCTCTTTCTTCCATGTTATTAATTAACATTAGATTAAATTGAAATAGTGCCTTCATTTCTTTCCCATCATTCGTTCTTAAAACAGTATGTCAATCTCTTCCATTGTGTTATTTATCCTACTTTTTTACTCGATGATTTGAATTATTCTAGTTTTAAGAAACTAATCTGTTGTGTACAAGCAAATGCTCTTAATAAATGCTTGTTTCGAAAAAAAATTATTGTTCATTTTTCGTCTCTATCGGTTATGTTTATAAGTCTTGTTGTTTTTTGTCGTATTAGTTTTAAAGAACTTATATTTATCCCAAGAACACGACAAAAACGCGAACAAAATTCAAAACTCGAAAGAAAATTGGTTTGAAAATAAAAACTGTTTTCTAAATAGAACATATTTTCAATTTTATTAATTTTGCAGAATGGACTAAAAGAGAAATCTTTTTCTTTACAAAACATTAATTTAAAATCTTAAAATTTTCTCAATGCATTTTCCGAGATCATTCGATTATATTTTAACAACAAAATAACAAAAACATCACCATCTCTATGTACAATAATAATAACAACTAGATATCACTGAAAAAATATATTTTCAAAACCATTGATCATTAAAGTTGATAAAATAATCTCATATAGTAGTAAAAAGTTAAAGCTACTAACTGAGATTTTCACGGCTCATACTTTGTAGAAAGTTGGTGTAGTATATTCAGAAGGAATAGCGTAGTATCGTCAAATAAATGTTTATTTTAGCAAAAAGAAAATAATCGTTGCTTTATGGTATTTTCGGAAAAGTTTATAGCGTTGACCAGAGTTATTTTTATAGTTTGTTGAGCGAAGGTCATCAATTTTGTATTGGAAGTGCCGAACGAAGCGAAGCGCGACCTCACAAAAATATTTTTACTGGCACTTATTCCAGAAAGATTTTCAAGTTTTGCAATGATGCGTACCCGTGCAGATTGATACTTTTTCATTGGCCGAGGTGCGCACTGGTGCCGAAAAAGTGTCGATGTATCATAAATTCTTACTTTATCGGCACCCCTGTCAGTAGAGAAGCACGACTTATATCCCGATTGGGATATCACCAAAAATCATATAGCCCAATCGGGATACAAAATACTATTTTTTCCAGTAAAGTCCGTTCGTGGAAAAAACTCAACGTTTTCGAAAAGTTTAGACTTCGTCATCAAAAAGAGTGTCAAAAACTGCATCACAATCTGTTTTTTGGGTAATTCAATGTGTTTTCCTAAAAACAACTTTTTTTCTGGTAAAAACTAATAGTAATTGCAAACTAAATTTTATGACCGGATCGGGATGTGAAATGTAGCACTGATTTTTACCAGTGCCGCGCTGTACTAGAAATGTTTTTGTAGAGGAGCTTGCTTTCAGTCCTAGCGTAGGACTGAAAGTTGCTAGAAGAGGGTTAGCTCTTTTTTGTCGTCCATCACTAACTTTTGATCTCGTTGAAACTTGATATAAAGTTATAAATTAAAAGCTAATTTGAGTAAATAGAATCAAATTTAACGTTAGTTTACATGCAAAACGCGTAACTCTGCTACCGGAATCTATGTGCGTTACCGTTTTTCTCTTTTCTTCTATCCTATAATATTCGGAAAGAATATCGTAGAATCCTGGAAAGCGTTCTTCAAAATCCACTACTAGCTCAATTCGAAATAATTGACGACTTTTCGGTTACAATCGAAATACTAAAAGCCCTAAAAAACAAACAACAATGTTTTTGGGGCTCTTCGTATTTTAAGTATAGCATAAAAAGCGTCAATTATTTTGAATTGAGCTAGTGGTGGACTCTGAAGAACGCACTTCATTCTACAAAACAAGACGCTTTCCAGGATTCTACGATATTCTTTCCGAATATTATAGGATAGACGAAAAGAGAGAAAAACGGTAACGCACAGAGATTCCGATAGCAGAGTTACGCGTTTTGGATGTTTAAGAATTACTGTGCTGAAATTCCGTTGAGAGATGTCACGTGTTTGTGGCCCTAACTGACGCGTTCCGCATTTTAGAGACATAGCATATCTATTGCTTTAGAACTTGCTTGTTTGTCATTGAAATTCAATACATCTTGCTTTTATAAGTACTTCAGAGCTACTAATTTATTAAAAACCAAATCTTTCGAAAAACTTCAGTTATTCGCTACTATACGAACGAATTTACTACCTGAAAAAAGAGATCTACTAAATAATTGTAAAATTAAGAATTTAACTTTGACTTGATATAATCCCTTTTCACACCAGTCGCAACAAAAGAATCCTATTATTGCTTTATTCATTAATAAAATTAAAAAAAGTTTACAAGTAAAAACGATTTCAAATCAAGCTCGACAAGAATATCGAATTTAACTCTGAAAACTTAGTAGCTGTAGTGTAAACATAGCCTACCTACCTTGACCTAGGAAGTAGCTCCTCCACGTTTTACCTTATCGCCATTCTAAATCCTTCTCAAACTCCTTAAAATGGTAAGGTACCTAGGAGCGTTCTCTTGGTTGAACCGACGTTGACAATAGAAAGTTGTTTTTTTGAAATCTTCTATAGTAAAGTTTTTTTAAAAGGGTAAAAACTTACCTGGCTGTGAGACGCGTTTTAGTCTGTCGTGTCACACGTTTCTCTCTCCTATATAGGTCAGCTGTCTTACACGTCTCTCATGACATTTTTGTGCCTTGTGTAATAAGTATTTTTTGCGCCTAAAAGATAATGTAGAAAATTACTCGGTTTTAAAAAGAACAGAAAGGTGGTCTTGTACTTTGCAGTTCTTCACACTATATTGTTTCTATATACCTTCTTGTCAAAATTATTTCGTTCTTATTTTTAAACTTTATTTCTGAATGTCTACCGATTTCACTGAGGAATCTAATCTATCGGTGACATCCCCTATAAATTCTACATCAACGACAAACAGTAGTGGCAATAAAAGCAGCGTGATTAATATGGATACGAAACGATACGGAGCAATTCGTAAAAATCGACGATATATTCCAAGAAAACGTTTGCTTATGCCATATTTTCTATTAGGTAAATATAACTTCATAAAACCACTATTTTTTAAATTAACTTGTAAAGTAATGCAAATCTTTGGGCCAACGTTGTCTGTAGTACTGTGAAAATCATTTTATTTTTGAAAAAATTTTCTTTTCTAATCGTGAGTCAGATGTTTCTTTAAAATTGATTAGTACGTTCTGAAGAAACCGTAAATGTGGGTGAAAAAAGTCATACCACTGCGCCGAAGAGTCATGGTTTTGAGAAGACCTGATGAGTTTCAATGCAATTTATATGTTGTAGTGAAAATATACAACATCAGGAAAAAGGATTTATATACTCGTTAAAAACCCCAGATAAGTCCATACTTAGTCTGACGCTGAAGAACGAGAACATATTTTTCTAAAAGACTTTTACTCCAGTGAGATGACATCTATTTTAGTACAAGAAATGTTTATTCTTTTATTCTAATACTTGTCTCTCATCGCTTCGAACATTCACGTGTGCCAATTGCCTGAAGCTTCTAAACACAAAGGTAATTATTTAGACTGAAATATGTTAGATTTTGAGAGCATGCGAATTTATTAAATTGTGAGTAGCGCTTGTTTGTCTCATTCCTGTTGACTATTATTGGCAGTCTCGTAATCATAGTTGTCAATTTAAGCAACAGGAAAAAATATAATTCATCACGTTATAAGACTCTGTGCGTATAATTTACTCATATGAAACCTGTCGACGTGAACATTTTTTTATATGTAGCCATTACGAATATTGTATTTTTGTTTGTGATAAAATGAATATTGGAGAAGATTTTAAAGGCATTTGTGTGAATACAGAACGTGCCAAAAGTAGGGTTTTTCTATAACTGAAAGGTGTTTGTAGTTTGGTTACTGTATTCTTTAGTTTCAGAAATAATATTTACAAATTTTCTTTGTCGTCTAGGTGGAAACAAAAGCGATCCATTAAATTTGAATGCTTTAATACAACAGAAAAAAGAAAAAACATTTCATACCGATATTGTCAATCCGCCTAAACCAAATAATAATAATTCATCCGATGGTGGTCTTACTGTTGAAATATTATTAACACCAAATACAAGAGATCCTTTGAGATTAGATGGAGATTCACGATCAAGAAATCTATCTTTATCGGTGACATCAGATAACAAGAATGTGAACCCAACAGGTAGATGCTATTATAGACAAGCAAGTCAACCATATGGAAAAAATAAAAATCTTGTTACAGATTCATTTATTCATCCTCAAAATAATCGTCCAGTGAATACAATTCGTTCACATGCTCAACATATTTCTCCGTCTATTCGTCCTTTGCTGTCGATTCAAACATCGGTACCAAATTCTGTTAACAATCATTTAAATCTATATCGTCCATCGTTGAGTTTTGATAATCAGTATTATAATCAAACTCGTTCTGATTCAATTACAACACCGTCAACGAATGTACAAAATATGTGGCCGCAACTAGCTGATGAACACGAAGATGATGAGGTTGTCAAATTTAGAGAGCAAGGTGAAGAAATGTGCTATGGAAATTTTAAAGGCTATTATGGTTATCGTGATCCTTCGCAAGATAATCGTTTGACTTATATGAAATCAGAATGGTTTAAACAAAAAGATGTTCTCGACATCGGTAAGAATAAAATTTTTTGCAAAAAACATAATATTTGACATTGAACATTCACATGATGAATCAATTAAAGAACACCATCTTTCGACTGAAACGATGTTTTTGATTGTATAATTTAATCTGATGAATGTCAATTTTTATTGAGAAATGAGTTGAAAATCATATTCCAATCAAGTTGAAAGAGGAGTGAACAGAGAATGCCTTGTAGACCATATTGTGACTGCTTTTACAGCAAATTTGACATTTTTGATTAAGAGATGTTATACAGTCGCTATCTAAGGAATCATTTTTCTTTGTTTAGGATGCCATACTGGTCACGTAACATTTTTTATTGCTGAAAATTTTAATCCAAAAACAATTCTGGGAGTTGACATTGATCAACAATTAATACATCAAGCAAGACAACGTTTATGGGATAAAATACAGAATCATAAACGAACTAAAATTAATAATGAACAACAGTCAAACAGAGATATCCAATTTCCGTTGAACATGCGTTTTCAACAGGTAATTTGCTAAACATAGTTCAACTAAATTAAAAAAAAATCAAGCATCAAACAAGAACAGTGAATACACAGCTGTACTTGATATTTTTTTCTTGATTATTTTATAGGTGTGATACACACGACGAATGCTTTCTGTCATGTTGTTCGAAAATGGAATGTATTATCAACATACATCGTCATTTAAATCGATACAAACACACAACACGCATCTTTTCCTTTTTCCTATCTTCTACAAGCAGCAGCAGCAGAATTCGCAAAAGCACATTGTCTATTTGAATCATGAATAAATGATCTAATGATGTATGTATATTAAGCATAGTACACAACAAGTACAAAGTCTCTATTTTCTAGTTGTGTAATCAAACGTTGTTGGACAACATACATTTTCGCGATACTGTTTTTCCCGTTTAAAAGAGACATATTGTGCGACGAGGAATAATAAAATCGTTTCGAAGCCAATATCTTCAGAATTTTTACTTTTTAGTGCAAAAATCGAAACCACAACATTGTGGTTAAATGGATCACAAGTGTTTGTGTAAGTTTACGTAAACAATAAAATTCTGTTCATGTTCTAATTTCTTTAAATTTCAAAGACAATAAAAAAAAGCTAGCGTTTAAAAAAATATAATCAAATTTAGGATTGTTTCTATACTATCCATTTTCCTACCTTTTTGCATGTTGTGTTTGTACGTGTATGTGTATTGTGCTTGTTTTTTGCCGTTTCTCTTGCGATAAACGACAAACAACACAGGCAGGAAGCATTCGTTGGACGCGAAAAAATATACGGTTATAGTCGTAAAATGTGTTTTGTCCTAATTGTTATTCGTTTATGAATTATTTTTTATATGCTTTAGGCAAATTTTGTATTGGAAAACGATGATGATCTAAATTATGTTACAGCAGAATATGAAACCATAATTGCATTTAGTGTAACGAAATGGATTCATTTAAATTTTGGAGACTGTGGTATTAAACGATTTTTCAAACGTATTTATCGTGCATTGAGGCCAGGTGGAATTTTGTTATTAGAACCACAACAATGGCAAAGTTATCGAATCAAACGTAAAATGACTGTAAGTGAATCTAGACAATTGAAATTATAAACGGAACGCGATGTTAGATTTTCAATCATTTGCGTTCCTCTAAATTTTAAATATTTCGTTAGTAATTCTGATCAAATAAGATCACTGGTGGCTTAGTTTTTCTGGCAAAAGATCAGGGATTCTGATTGTTTTTTACCAGAAGGGGGAGGCTATAATTGTGGCGGTAAGCTTATAAAAATATCTTGTGGAAAGTGATTTTATTTCTGTACTATTCTCTATACTCAATCTGAAGTTCCTTCACTTTTCGTTCCGTTTATGAAGGGAGTAAAGTACAAATAAAAACAATAGTCGTTCTTAACCTTCGGCATGATCATTTTTTCTATCATTTTCCTGTTCATCTAAACGTAATGTGAGATTTCTTTGGCTTGCTATAAACAACTATATTTCTGTCTTCGCTTTAATGTAATGTCCTATACACGGCAGTTTTAATTTGGTGGGGTTGACGGAAATAGATCGAACTTTTGTAGTCTTTAACTCTCATTTTCATTCTATTTTTAATTGCAGTCTTAATATGTTATGATGAATTAAGGACGTTACAGCTGCTCAAGTCTTAAAATGTAAACTCTTTCTTCTCGACTCGAGACGATAAAATAAGACAGTCAGACTTAAAATATTTAGGGAATAAAAATTGACTTCCAAGTAATATAAACGAGAGTGTACTTGTATTTGCAAGTCTACGTGGAAGATTAACACAGAAAAGTTGGCACAAAAAACAGTTTTTTATGCCACTTCTATATTTTCCAGTGCGGAAAAATTTTAACGGAAAGTCAAAACTTCCAGAGAGGGGCTAGCTCCTCCCTGCCGCCTCGCTCTCTCCTGATGGGGATCGCTGCGTATGATGTTTAAACAGAGAGCTAAAACACTTTTAGTCAAAAACATCCATAATAAAGCGTTTCATATCATTTTGATGAATCCTCTTTTTCTTTTTATGCAAAGATTTTTATCGTATCTTCTCACATTAAATTGAATTTATCGTCATGTTGTTTTTTTCAGAAAAAAATATGGGAAAATTATCGTCATATTGAATTTAAACCAACGGAGTTTTTATCTTATTTGTTATCGAGTGAAGTGGGTTTTCAAACATGTCGTACAATCGGTACACCAACACACAAGAATAAAGGTAAATATTCAGCCTTTCCACCAAGATGCTTACTTACTGTACAGCAACAGCTTTCCATGCGCACTTCGAAGTAAAGAGAATAGGATCACTATTATTTCGAAATATGTCTCGGTTCTGCGTTGTAGGCCATTAGCTTATATCTAGAAAAGACTAAGAAAAACTTATAGAATTCTTTTTTGCATGAAACCATTTAAGGAATACTGTTTTTTGCGTTATAAAATTGCATTCTACCTTTTAAGGTTTTGAACGTCCAATTTTGATGTTAATTAAAGCCAGTTTTATTGATACTTTATCAAATCAACAAGAAACAAATCCGTTACCTCGTGCGTCCTCAGTCTGGCGTTCTGATGCTGATAATTTAGATATGACAACTGCATCTAATGAGCATAATAATATTTTGATTACTGATGCTGATCATGTGTCATTATTACCGCGTATGGATCCTTCTACGCCTATTCAAATACAATCATCAGCGGTCCAAATGATTGAATAGCAGTAAATTAACACTACTTTTTTTATGTATATTCTATTTATGTTCTAACTATTTTTTTTTCGTTATTCTGAGTGAGTTTTTACACTCGTTGTTTTTCGCTTTATTTTCTTCTTTTGGTATGTCAGCTTATACGCGTGATCAAGTAGTTTATAGTCAGAAAATTCATTTTACTTTCTGAGCGAGAAAATTAAATGGCTTTTAACAATAAGATGAGATTAATATTATCTGTGGATTAGAACTCCATTATATCTTTTAACCACCGAAACGACAATAATAGTTTTCTATATTATTATTATCGTAAAACTATCCTATCACTATTTAATCTTATTTTTCTCTAATTAGCGATGTATATCCTACATTTTCCTTCGTTACAGAACAGTATGCTAGGAGTTTATCTTATTATTTTTTTTGTGTCATACGTGTTTTAAAATGTAATTTATATTACTTAGCATATCAAAGTTGCCGCTATTTTATTATTTCTATTTTGTTTTTTTTGGCAATTTTTTCTGTCATAAGTATTGATTATAAAGACGTAACTGTACAAAATAAATTCAATTATTTATATCAGAACACAAATAATGTGTACAATGAATCATGAAAATGTATTTTATTCATTTTATACACTCTTTTCCAGATACAAAGATGTAATAGAGACATATGAACATATCGTTAATAAACAAATGATTGTGTATGATGTAAAAAGTTCTAAAACTTGAACATTTTACATATGTTAAAAAGAGTGTCATTTTTTTATTCATAAAACCTTGAAAAATCGTTAATGCAATAATCGACTTGCGTATAGAGTGTTCAGTGACACAGTAATCAATCTATTAGATCTAAGAGTTCACTTGCACTAATTGATTTATTTGAATATTCTATTCGTTCTATTGAAATGTAGCAGATCAACAAACAATAATATCTTTCTTTATAACAATAGTTTCATAAAAGCTTGATAAAGCTGGATTGATTTTAAAATCTCTTTTACAAGGCTACATAACAAGTAATTTAACACTTTCTACAACATTTTTCTTGAAATAGTTTTATCATGTGCCCTAGAAAACTAATTTGATTTTTAGTGTAGGTAATTAAAATAAAATATTTACTACTAATCTATTTGCAAGAAATAGTAGACCGGATTATCCTTTAATCCCACTTGACCTAAAATCTTTAAATAATATTTTAGTTTTGATGTACTTTTTTTTCATACTTTCATTATGCATCTAATCAACAATTCAGTTTTATTTAATCATTTTTGCAACATTTTAATATTTAAAGTTTATTGTACGCATGTCTGAATAATAATAAAATTTATTTGATAACAAAATTCTATCATCTTCACTTTTAGTTCTCGAATGTATTCACATTTTTTACTTATTCACAAAAATAATCATCACTTACACCGTTATCTAATTGAATTAATTAATTTCGCGTTTAAATGTATTGGCCCAATCTCTGTAGGCTGGATCGAATATATTGCGTCGTTCAAAATAATTTGACCAATCTCTATAGGCCGGATCATACAAACTTCGAGAATTTAAATTGTGTTTATTCATCATTTTATACTCTAATAATTGCCGCAAGGCATCTTCATCATGTTCATCCATACTGTTAAGCTGAAAAAGCGAGAGAAAAACAATTATTAGAGCAGATGAAGCGCTAGAATATGAGCAACTATTTGATAGCCGAATTAATGACCAACTTTAAATATAAATGATTCCCATCGTAACTAAGGTGTCAGGAATTCAACAAGACAGCAAAAAATTTTACCTTTTCTTTGACATGCTTGGACAGAGTATATGGAGTTACCTAGAAAAAAATTACTATAAGAGAAGCACCATCACAGCACCGACCATACTGTCTGGAGGAAATTTTTATTTTATTTTTATTTATGTCTCATTCGAAAGAGCATACAAAATAACCGCTAGCCCTGGAATAACTCTTTCTGAAAATGCTTGTTTAAAAAACTAGAGGCCAAACACTCTATTGAGGGTCACTCTTGTTACCAAAAAACGTGAATTTTCACAAAGGACTAGAGCGATTATCTGATGAAATTGGCCCATGCCTGAATTCCATCGACTAATCAAAGGCTAGATGTAGAATGAAGAGGAATATTTCTGGGTACTTACTAGACCTTAGAACCACTCTCAGAAAAAAATCGGTCGAATCGAATTTAATTAAGTTTCTACTGCATCTGATATATACTATAGATCATATTTTTGAATCTTTCTCTCTCAGTTTCACAATTTCTCACGACTATTATATATCATTCAAAAGCTCCTTTTCTGCGCTATATTTCTGTATATCACATATATGGAAATAGTCGTTCTAAAGCCAAGCATGTTTAGAAATACTTCTGACTATGGAAAATAATCTCCTATGTGCATTGCAAAAAGTCTCAGATATTCTATGTCAACATTTCTCATTCGGCTAATACAATAAATATACCGTACGATAGAGAATTTGTCAAGCTACAATTTAATATAGAGAAAAAGTGTCTAGAGGACACCTTGACATTAGAAATATTTCTGCAAACCAGAATTAGGCTTGTAATTCTCAATTCTCTCTACCAGAAATCAATTGTTATGCAACACAAATATATTATTCGGAATCAGAATCAAAAACTGAGCTGATTAATAGTTATTTCGAAATGTTTACTTGATTTTCATCTTTTGATGTAAATCTAGATAATTTTTCAACGTGAAAATTCGACAAAAACTAAAATAGCCAGATAGGATAGACATACACATTAGTCAACTCAGTTTTTGATTCTGATTCCGAATAATATATTTGTGTTGCATAACAATTGATTTCTGGTAGAGAGAATTGAGAATTACAAGCCTAATTCTGGTTTACAGAAATATTTCTAATGTCAAGGTGCCCTCTAGACACTTTTTCTCTATATTAAATTGTAGCTCGACAAATTCTCTATCGTACGGTATATTTATTGTATTAGCCGAATGAGAAATGTTGACATGGAATATCTGAGGCTTTTTGCACATAGGAGATCTTCTGGAAAAAAGCAAGCGATTCTACTTGAGTCTCTAGTAACTGATAAGCTGTTGTAAACCTAAACTACGTTAAAAATTGTTCAAGTCGAGTTTCATATTTCATAAAAGCAAGAGATTGTATTCGTCGTGTTCCGCCATTTTCATCATCAAATTTCAATTTCTTCGCAAAACCAACATAATGCTCGAAATTACCGTCAAAAACTGAGTCCAATAACATGTGCTTCAAAAATTTTTGGTAACTTTCATTTTTTTCAAAAAGCAAAACCGAAAAATTCACCCAAAACCTTAATTTGACTACTTTTGCCTATTTTTAATAAATCTATATTTTACAATTTTTTCACTTAAATGACTTTTAAAAATCTTAAACTGACTTTTTTCTAGGTAACTCCGTATGCTCTATTCAACCATGCCAAAGAAAACGCAAAAATTTTTGCTATCTTGTTGAATTCCCGGCACCTTACTTACGAATGAAACGCTCCAGGTATCTCATCGGTTTTTATTCGAAACGTACGTACTTAGGGATAGTCGATAGTCGTGATCACTAAGCTGAAGGTTATACCTACTCGTATTTAGATCTCTATTCCTTATTCAATATTTGTTTCCTTGTTAAGTCTCTGTTAGAAACAACGTAGTTTATTAGTTTTTCTAGTAAGATAAATCTGTTACACACAGATATTCATTGAATATTTTATTACCACTAATTGATGATTACGTTTTTTCGCAGTTACGATAACTGATATAACCTTCAATATGCCTCAATTTATTGATATCATTCGTCTGCGCATGTCATTGGATCACCAATACCTTAGAATTTTTTTTAAAATATACTCTAAGGCATTTATATACTGAACACTCTACGACTTCTGTGATTTTTATGTACAGCGTCTCTCAAAATGATTACCACCTTTATTAACAGTTATATAAGATTCTACTAAGAATATCAAATTTACAGAAAAAAAAAGCGAATTAATAGAATTGAATTGACTCTTTGGACCAATGCTTAGAAATGATTAAAAAATTTCAGAATGATAGTTCACAATTACCTTCTGAAGTATAGAAATATTAAAAACTAAATAACGAATCGCTCCTGATAAATTCTAGTCGTTATCTTCTTAAAAACATAGAGGGTTATTGCCTTGCAGAAATCGTCCACCATTCTGAAATTTTCAGGCTTTGTATGGCTCCCTAAAAGTCTGAACAGAGATCTAACTACGAGTAGGTATAATTTTCAGATTCGTGGTCAAGACCATCTACGACTCCTAACCATGCGTATTTCGAGCAAAAATCGATGAGATACTCGAAGCAGTTTACTTGTTAGACATAGAACTGATGTTTTACTTACCATTGGATAATTGTAAACAGATGATATCATTGATAGTGTAAAACAGATGAAAAGCAGAAAAAATAATTGTTGTTGCTGCATTGTTTTGAAATTAAACACTTTTGTTAAACAATGGATCTGATTATATGTGTGTGTTTGCGATTATAGAACTACCTAAAACAAGATGATAATGTATGAATGATTGATGTAGTATCACGTACGCATGAAGAATGATCATATTTGTACTATTAGTCCTGGACAGTTTTTTTTTGTCTTATTATATAGTATAATGTAATTGTCGGTTTCATACGTGTTATTCGTTTAAAGGCCTAAATTCTCATTTGTATTTTGATATATGATTTAACAGTGATTCTAACAACTACGAAAGAAAATTGAAAGCTTATAAATTAGTTACAAAAAATAGACTATATATTAGCTAATAGAATCTCACAGTCAGAGAGGATGAAATACATCCCCGACAAGACGAAGAAAAAATACACGCTCTTCAAGGACATTTTCTTTCTTAAAAAAAATGTTCGTTGAAATAGTGATAAGTGTCTTTTTTTAAAAAAAAAGAGAAAATCTCTAATAAGACAAAGAGTTATTCGTTCAAAAATCTTCTATCTATAATTAGATAGATAGATAGATAGATTGTTGTTGTCTTTAGTAGTGAGAGAAAGAGAAAGGATTTATTTTTACAATTGTCAGCAATGATGCACAAACAATTCTCTATTTTGAGAAAAACAGTACAGTTTTTACTATATGTTACTGTTATTGAAAAGAGTTTTTGATTATGGTCTCTTGTTAATATCCATTCTTAGCATCTACTGAGTTTTATATTTCCATATTACCAAATAATGGCTGTATCTAAATGTTTTGAAAGTTCTTCGATCTTTGTAATTATAGATGTTAAAACATATCATCGAAACAAAAAAAATAAAGTTAGGTTTGCGTTGCTGAAAAGTGTTTTTTCGTGTTCAGCACACTCGATAACCCAGAAGATTTTCTATTTTTGATAAGGGATACTTTCAAAATTTGAGGAAAAATTTTGAAAACAAAATGGCACAGTAAAATTTCCATGAGAAAATAATATTATAAACATTTTTCCTACACTTTTGGAGGTACTCTTCGCCAAAAATAGAAAATCTTCTAGGTTATCGAGTGTGCTGAACACGAAAAAACACTTTTCAGCAACTCAAAACCAACTTTACCGTTTCTTTTGTTCCGATGATATGCATAGCGGATAATTTATTCTATCAAGATCTACTTTTCGTATAACACGACTTTTGATTCTTTTCAGTTAAAATGATAGTATTTAAATTTAATAGTTACTCAGTGATCCATAGAAAAACTTTCAGTAAACCGTTTCTGGCAAAAAAATATAAATAAAAGATAATGAAAAAAAAATGTTTCCGACCTTTTGTACTATTATCGAAAGTTGCATCTTCAACATCGTATTTGTAAAGGAAGATCACACTGAATAGTGTGATTGTAAAAATTTTTGTGTATTCCTGTGATCAAAAATTGAGTAAGAACATGCCACAATGAGAATAAGTCAATAACTATACATACTAAAGAGTAACAATAAGAATTTTTTCCATTTAATTTCGACAAATGTCAAATCAAATCAAATTAATTATTATACTAAGAAAACTAAAAACAATATCTTAAGTTTCTTGTTGCCTTCCAAAAAAAACATTTTCAATAGTCTCAAGAGTGTTCGACAAGTTCGTATACATATATATATTTATTTTACGAATCACGCAATAAACAGGAGTATTTTGACTGTAAAAACGTCATTTTTAGCGGTACATCATGCAAAATAAACTAGTCAAAATTAGAATGAAGTGTCTATTTATGACTGATTATATTCGACTTCAAGAACAAAGTATTTGAATATTGTAACTTATGAAAAATAGACTTAGAAATAATCTTCTATTTTTGTTCTTTCTTTCGTTTGACATATTGAATAACATCTTTTTTGGTTAAAAGTCCAGTTAATTTTCCATTATCTGTAATTAGAATTGTTTGTGCACCCAATTTTCTACACATATCAATTATTGTCTCAACGGGTGTATCATTTGTTACTGTAATAGGTGAACGATTGAGTAAACGATAAAGTTTAATTGATGATACTGTACTAATTGTATCAGCTCGTTTCGTACGCGTAAAATGAACTGTACTATCATTATCTGCGTTTGAGCGACTTTTAGCTTGATTTAGTACCAATTGTAAATCTCGTCTAGATACAATACCAACAAGATATGGCATTGATTTTGAAATAATTACCGGATAACATCTGAACGGATATCTTCGTGTTATACTGGTTAATTCATGTAAACTCATACCATCTTGATTTAATGTAATTAAGGGTGGTTGTGTTACATTTTCCGCTTTTTGTTCATTTTGTTGTTCCTGTTTACTTTTGAGAAGATCAACTGCTGTTGTTCGATTAAAACTAAATTCTTCTTTAATATCCAAATAGGGATAGTTGTTCAAATTAATATGCGCATCATAAATACCTTCTTTAACTAATGCATCACCAACTAGTTTAGCTACCAATGCTGCACACATTCTTAATTAAAAGAAAAAATAAATATGATTGTATAAAGTGAAGTGCTTGAAGATAAGTAAAGAAATACTTACAATGGGACACTGTAACTCAATCCACCAGTCAACTCAACCATGATCACCACAAGACTCACCGTCATTCGAGTTACGCCACCCAAAAACGCACATGAACCAATCTATTAATAAAATGATGACGTACATTAACTGCTTTCAAATGTTTTTTGATAACAAACACTTACTAATGCATAAAAAGCTGGTGCTACACATTCTTCATCAGCTTTACTGCATTCTGCAGCAGATAAGAAAAATGTTGGATATTCATAGACGAGTGCTTCAAATAAAATACCGACAATACGTCCCGTTATTGCGCCAATTGTCATACTTGGAATAAATAATCCACTAAAATATAAATAATTAATTATTCGATTATTTTAAATAATTAATATAAATAATACCTACCAAGGTATTTTAATTCCGAATGTTATTATGAATAATCCAATTTGTGTGACTAAAGTCAATACCAATAATCCAACTGATGCCCATACGCCACTTAATGCTTTTGCCGAATCGACTTTATCATTTGCACTTGTTACATTTCGTGCATAATTACATAAATTTGATGTATCTTCCACACCACATGATGAAATGAGACGTCGTATTAAATCTGCCATTGAAATTCTTGTAAATGGATTTGGATAAGTGACAAGTAATGTTAATAATGCAATACAAATAACTTCGGTTACAGGATATTGTCCTAATTTTGTTCTTTTACGCATTTTACACCAATAAAGATTTAATTTAATGAATAATGCACCAAACAAACCTCCCAAAACTCCAAGTAAAATAAATGGGATAAGTTCGAAATAAAACCATCGATATTGATCGCCAACATTAAATAATGTTAAATGTTGATTTTCAAATGGTGATAATAGTTTAACAACTGAGATGATATTAGAAAATAATAAACACTATGTGATCAGACAACTCTAACTTGATTACTCACCCAGTGATGCTACCATTGCACAGAAGAGAGATCTCCAAAGAGTTTTCAATGGGAAATAATAACTAACTTCCTCTAAACTGAATAATACACCTATAAAATACATATAATGAAATTTAGACAATGTTGCAAATCACTGAAGTTCCATCAAATACCTCCAATGGGAGCCCCAAATGCTACAGAAACACCAGCTGCGGCTGACGCGGATAATATTTCGCGTTTTTTCGCTTCATTTTGACCATACTTGGGAAATAAGCCTACAAACTAATTTAGCGTATTCTAATTAACGACAATTTAATAGAGACGTATACTTACGAGCAAATATATTGCCACAGCAGCAAGCGACATGTACAAATGGTCCTTCTTTACCGAGTATTAAATTTGCACTTGTACCTATAACATCAATGGTCCTTGATTTCTATCAAATAAATATTATATTATTTTACCTAATATCATTCCCATGCTTTTTATTAACACCGTCCATCGTCCGAGGTATCCCCTGATAATAAAACCACTTAAAATCGTCTTAACTTCAGGCACACCGCTACCCGATGCATATGGAGCAAACATTTTAACAAACATTGCACCCAGTGAAGCAAATATACACCCTAAACAAAAACAGGTTGTAATGATCTAGTTTACACCAAAATCGGTTATATAGAATAGTTTCTCTAGCGAAGCATTTCAGATGCTGAGATCAAGGTATTGTATTTCGTACTGGATAATTTTTGTCCTAATAAGTCTAATGAAGATATTTACAAATATTACCTAATACAACAAAGGCTAAATAATTAACAGCGTACTCCCAATTTGTATCGTTTTCAATATGAAACACTTTTGACCATGAATGCCACTGTTCACATTGAACTAATAGTTGTTCATTATACGTATTGTTTCTAGATGTCCACTGTGACATTGGAAATAAAGAAAAGTAGGATTAAACGAAATTCTATATTATTAAAGAATCTTACACAACATTGTTCACGATGCAACCAAAATGATGGTAGGCATATTCCATTTTTTAAATGTGCTAACCAGACAGCACCAATATCAACAATAGCAGCAATAATTCCAATATTAATTGCGACTAGCAAAACACAAAACCAACCCGATAGAGCATCATGATAAGAGATAAATCGACGCCAGAGTGATTCTGTTTTTTGTTCAGTAATAACTTGATGTCTTAGACCATCACGTGCTACATCACTTAGCCAGTCGATTGTTGACCAATCTGAATAATGTGTACGATTTAATGCAGGAAGTTTAGTCTAAAAAAGGTAAGCTTGTCAATTTTGAGAAATATTTTCGAACATCACGATAGCAATAGAAAATCTTTTACCGTCTATCATTATTTGCAATGACTTTCTTTACAAACTAACGAAATTCAATTAATTTTTAGAATAGAAAAGAAAAACTTACAGCTGCCGACGTACGAAAAAAATCCACCGTTCCTTTGGATTTATCAGCCAATGTTCCAGTATCGACACCAGCATCCAGAGTAATATCCAATAATGAATTTTCAATTTCATCATAATCATCAATATCGTCTACTTTTTTACTAGTTTGCGTTTTTGAAAGTGATTGTATGGAATTATTTGTTGAATTTTGTACTGGAAAAGAAACATGTTTTGAATTTGATAGTGTTGATTCTTTAGATGGCACGATTATTTCATTAAATGAGACAAAATTCGGATTGATAACAGAATTTGGTTCGACGTTACGAGATGTAAAACGAGCTCGTATATTTGAAAACCATTTTGACGCACTTGATCCATCTGACATGATCAATTCATGTATTTGTACGTTACTTTTGATTAGAGAAAAGAAAAAATTTAACGGTTCAATTCAAAATCTTTTTTTTCTAAGTTTTTGTAAATAATATGATATAATCGCGAGATCATAAGTTTTGTTAAATAAAAATATTTTCTTTCTTTTTTTTTAACGCTTGTAAAAGAACAAAACATAGAGGAAAGAAAATTTGTTTTATCTTATTCATGTGTTTACAAGTCAAAACGAACATCTTTGTTTGCACGTAAAAATTATTTCATAGATTTGGAAAGGGAACAAAATCTTTGCTTTACAAAAATCATCTGCTGCTTTTTCATATAAATAGTTATATCGCAGAAACACAACAGAGTTGCAATTTAAGATATAGTCCCATCCTGTTCTATCAGCTCAAGGATATTCAAAGCATTCCTTCCGTCGTGGCGCTGCTACGACGGCCTCCGCCTGCTGTTGACCTGATAACATCATCCAACTTCTTGGTCATCGGCTCAGCGAAGCTTTTTAAGTGTTATATCGATTTACCACTATCAACAATTAAACAAGCTCAACCCATTCTCATAACTCAATAAAAACTTCGGGTCTCCGATGCATACAGCATCCTACGTTTGGATTCGCCTCAAATTTTGTTTTTGTTATAATTCCTTTTGCCATATGTAATAAATATAACGTAGCGTTACTCTCTCTTGACTAGGAAAGAGTGAGAAATGAAATGTAGGTTCTTAACCCTTTGTATACCAGCGTATCAAATTTAGCACGCTTTTTTAATTCTTGGTTTCTCAATAAAAAAATGAATTTTAACTTTTTAGTCTATAGAAATAATTTAATAGATGTAAGAATAAAGAGTAAAAAGAATTTTACTGAATTCTACTTTCCACATAAAACATGAAATCAGCAAAAATCGAACTTATTCGAAAAGTAATTTTTAAAAAACATATAGGTTTTATAGCGGAAAGTTTGCTCTACAAGCTGGTAGATAAAGAAGTTTATTTTACATTGAATCTTAGATAGTTATTATTAAAATGAGAAAACACTTGAGTTTGTTATTTTCATACAAAAGAAATTCATGAGGCTTTTCACACTGCGCATGCAGTGTTTTATGGCAGAGTGCTACAGAAGTTCTGAAAACATATTCATAAGGGTAAAATTCTGATCCTAGCGCATACTTGTTGGATCTTTTAGAGCGCTTTTATCTTACTTTGGTACTGAAAGAGTTGGGGGGGAGGCGGACCTCACAAAAGGTGCTGTTAAACCTACTCAAATTCTAGAGAGTACTTGACTGCATATGTACTGAATTGTTTCGGAGATTCACGGAGTTATAAATTAATTAAGATAAAATTTTAGCAAAAGATTTAATTGTTAGGCCTATTTTTAAAAACTTGACTGTTTAATCCAAACTGATTATACAAACGTTATTCTAGTGTACTTAGATTGAGAATCACTTTTAGTTATAGTCGCATTGAAGATATTTTAGAAAAAGACATACTGATATATAGGTTAATAATTAAATAATTCTGATTAACGCCAATTATGAACAGTTCAGCGATTTACATTTTTGTTTGCAAATCAACAGTTGTCTGCAAATAACTGAACAATACATCATTCGAATTAGCTTTTCAAGCGCTACAAAACTGTATATTCTAGTACGGGTTTTCATTTTGTTCTGAAAACCAACATTGCCACGAGATTCAGCGTGATCAGTAACCTATGTTTCATGCATTTCTGACCGTCCCAGAATGAAAAATAGAAAAGTCCCAGGGTTTTTGGAAAACGTCGAGAGCTTCGGAACTAAGCAAAGTGAAGTTTTTGTTTAGATCTTATTTTGTAGAGGTCGCTTTGGACTATCTATCTACGAAAAAAATTGATAAATTGCTATGTGAAATTTTTAACTTAGAAACTGGTTTTTCAGAGATTCTCTGAAAAACAGTTAGAAATTTGTTCAAAAAACATTTCTGCTTATGAAAATATAGATTAAGCTGTCCTCTTTCGACTGCCGAAAACCGTCAGTCTCTACCTTTTATTGTCATTGAGTTATTCAAAAAACAACTGCCGGTCTTATATTGTTGGATGGATAGCAGTATTTTCTAATAACCTTGCCATGGCTTGTGGCTCAACGAAGCATGTTGGAGAAAAATCTTTTCTGACAAAACTCTTGGATGCTCTCCCTTGGATGCCAAATAGGATAAACAGTGTAATACTTTTTCCAGTGTAACGCAAAAGTTTTGACAACAATTTAATTTTAAGTTTTTTAAATAGTTTAAAATTTTAAAACTTAATTTTTCTCAAAATTTTTCCGTTACACTAGAAAAAGTATTACACTGTTTATCCTATTTGGCATCCAAGGAAGAGTTTTCTCCGCAAAGAATTTTTCATCGTGCTTCGTTGAGCCACAATCGGCGGCAAGAGTCTTAAAAAATACTAGTTTTCTGAAAAATCGACATTTCAAGAAAAAGGAAAATTTTTGTTAACCGAACTTCCTTCAAAGTTCGCAATAATTTCAGCATATAGGCAGTTCGATCTCGTTGATCGTTCGGAGCCAGTCTTACCATCAGAACACGCTTCTTTAATGAACAGTGAACTTTTAAAAATACCTCTTATATTTCTGTAAACTTTTAAAAGTTAAGAGAAAATGGGAAGAACGTGTCCGGGAGATTCAAACGTGTCACCGTGTATGTAAGTTGGCATAGGCAACAAATTGATGTTAAAAACCAGGAGGATTCCGCCCCCTCTTTTAGTGCGAACGTAAGTTCATGAGAAGTGAATTTCACATTCTTTCTGAAGAATTGAATTTGTCGTCAGGGTATTCAAAAAGAGAAATCTTTCTTGTTTAGAAAAATTCGTTCAGTTTTCTCTGTATGCTGAGTTTCTTTAACTTCACTGGTCCTTCGCCCACCGTTCGTAGGCTAACGACAATTTCTGAGTGTTTTAATACCATACATGCCGTGACACAACGTATATCCACTGCTGCATAATATACGATACTAATGACCAACCATATATTATCTAAGTACCGTATTACATTGAACATTGCTGCTAAATTATCAACTTACAAGAAAAATATTCATAACACTATCTGACTCTCACACAGTCAACTACGCTACCTTAACCAGGCAACGTTCCGTGTGATCTTTTTTCTACACGGCACTCACACTTTGCCCCTTCTCACCATGCCCTAACGTAGCGTTACACTCTCTTGACTAGGAAAGAGCGAGAAATGAACGTATGATTATAGAACATTTACGAGCAAGATATTCGATTGACTGTTTGACGGATTGGTATTAGAGCTTTACAACTGTTTAAACTAAATAAAGACAGGCTGTTTTTTTCAGTTTTACTCGTTAGTTTGTTGAAATATTCAAAAAGAGTTAATTAGTGACCTTTTAGCATTTGAAAAACAAGAACTCTTTTTAGTTGTATTCACAAGAGAAATCTATTTCTCTTTTTTCAAACTGTAATTCGGCTTGTCCAAACGTAACGGTGTTACGTTTTGGACGCACTAAAATGAAATTATCTCGGAAAATAAAATAGTTAAAAAGCTCATTTAAACGCCATTCGATGCAGCTCGCCGACCCCCCTTTATGATATAAAAATGAAATTTTTTGGATGAAGTCTCGAATTTTGAGAACGGTTTTTGTAGGCCGTAACGGCGTTACGAAAAAAGACCCTTTTTTTCGAGTGCTATCAACAAAAACGTGAATTCCGACAAAGGTAAAGATCATAATGAAAAGTTTTTAGCACAGAAATTGTAGAGCACAGAACGGGCTATCCGATGGTAAAAAAAGAATTTTTCCAACCTCTTCAGTTAAGGCAACAACATCAAAACATAAACGTAACGGTGTTACGCACTATTTTTGTCGAGTGTTTTTGAGGGATCTAATATGATCAGAAGATTTTGATATTTATACATATAATTATTCGTGCTACAGTCAGCCGATATACGCAAGAATAAAGTCGCTACCTCGGGTTGGAGGGTCAAAAACTGTAAATTAAGTCGGCAAATGTACAAATATGTACAAATTTTCTAAAGCGCTGAAGCTCAGAACCAAACACGCCATTTTGTAGAGAATTAATTTTCTACGAAACCATATGTTTAGAAATTTATTTTTCGAAAATTTTCTCAGCTAAAAGTATAAAATCCGATTTTTTAAATGTTCAACACCGGTTTTGAGACTCAAAAACCAATTTTTATCAAAAAAGCGTTTTAAACGGGTTCTTAGAATTAAAAATTACATCTAGTGATGTATTCAAAATTTTTGAAAGCGAAAATATTTTTTTATAAACTTGATCAGCGAAGTGTCGCATTACGTGGACAAGCCGAATTTCACGCCATTCAATAAATGTTGTTCAATTCAACCAAAAGCTAATCTTTTGAGCTTATTTTTTATTTTATTTTATGTTGAAGAGAAAGAGTTAGTTTATTTGTGTTAATACATCAAAATTTGAATAAATTTTTTTTCTTAAGCAATATTTATTGATAACCAATAAAATCTAAGGTGTACTCAAAAATGCCATCCACATACGTTTTTTATTATATAAATAAAGCAAACAAAAACAATCAAATTTAATGTTGATAAATAAATTAAAACATAACACATGTTCACGACATCCAAAAAATCCAATACAATTGCTTTTGGCATCGAATCTATTTGCATTAATCATTAGTCCGCATGAAATAAAGTTTTTCTTCGATTAATATCATGTTTTTATTTACAGCTGTTATGTACAAAGTACAAAAATATTCAAGAAAGAAACTAAGATTTACGATATGTCTGTTATTAATTCAAGATGCTTGGTAATGTATTAGTGTTGATTAATAAATAAAGATAAAATGTTCTTAAACTCGAAGATACATTTAAACCTTATCAATAAATAATTGTGATTGCGTAGATGAATAAACCATCAATAGGTTTATGTATTCTCGATTATGAAAACTTTTTAACGTTTAAATGTTGATCGATCGTTTGTATTGAGTTTGTTGACAATAGAAACATTGATGGAGTCGTCCTACTAATCAAAGGTAGTGAAATTAATAGTTGTGTGACAAGATGGTGAAATCATAAATATCATTTCCACATTCATCAATAATGGCTTGTCCAGTGCTGGAGACAATAGCTAGTCGATTTTAATTGAATTAACAGATGAAGATGATGAACTTAATCATTTACGAATAGAATTTGTGCGACATGTTAGATGCGACGTGTTAGATATCTTAGACAAAGATGATGTTATGACAATGTAAACGTTTTTGGATTGACCACGAGTAATGGTGGTAGTACTTACGCTTCATTTTTACGATAGGATGCTTATGCATGATACTATCCTATTGAGTAAAACTAGTCACATTTTAACGATCCGTATCTTTTTCGATTGCCAATTCTATCATCAATATTTAAAAATATCCGTTTTTAATCAACAGCATAGATGATACCGTGTTTATCTGTGTAATAAAAAAATCAAATTCGAAAAACACACTTTAAAAAATAATCTAAAAAAAACGAATCAAAGGTTGAATCAAATTTCAAAATAAGACAGAATCTTCGCATTATTTCAAGCATATCTCGCTTGATAACTTTCGTTTCTAACAGACACCATAACATTTAGTAAATAAGTGAAAATTCGATCTTATCCTTGTGTAACAATTAGAGACAAACAAAGTTAGTAGCAGCGTACTACTTAATATATACAATATTTTATAGAAGTACTACAAAGCGTTAAAAAAAGACACTTGATTTGTATTTACAATGAGACGAAAAAAAAACTAGTAGAATATTTTAAAAATCAGGAAAATTCTCGATTATTATGCGTCGCAATAATGGAGAGTAGAGAATAAAGTGTTTGACTAAACGGGTGTTCAAAAACGAAAAGAAAATAAAAAGCACCAGGATGTATTTTATCTCACTTAAAGAAAACAATTTCGTGTTTATCCGATGAGATTTCATTGCTCACGATAAATAAAAGTATCTGATATGACGAAAATGACTGAGCAAAAATAAAAAAATTGAAGAATGACTACGTTTTTGACGGTGCTGTCAAACTTCGTACAACTGATAAAAAAAGACTACTTTTATTTCTCAATACTAATCCAATTGATCCACTCATTGCCGTGCTTTGAGTACTATGTTCGGTTAGATAAGGATCATCAGGAATATTATAATCTAAATGAAATAGAAGAAATTATTTAAAAAAATGATTAATTTAATCAAAAGAAGCAAAATAACAAACCTTGAGGCACTGTTTCCCAATCTTCATTATTTAATATATCAGTAACATCTTTCTCGGCATCATCCCACCAATAATCAGTTACATATGCTCGACTAATATCATTTACTTCTTCTTCAATCATATCGATGTAATGTTGAGGATAGACAACCGGTTTTGGACTAAAATAAAAAATGAAAGAAATTATCTGGTATTGATGAAGTTAAATATTAAATTATTCTTACCGACTCTGATATCGTTTGAGTGATATTAGTTTAGATAAATTTTCTATTGTATACTTTACATTTGAATAATCGATTGGTATACCTTGTGAAAAGCATCCACATAAAATATTAGCATTTAGCTTAGCAACATCGGCACGTAAACGATCGGTTGTAACATTATTCGTATTAAATTCTCTAAACATACACATTCAATCCATAAGCAATTAGAAGTAGTGAAAAGAAATTTTTTCAACTATAAAAAAAATTATAGAAAAACATTTTTTTTTCTTTGTTGAGATACTTACAATTGATGTAATCGAAACGGTAATGCAATATTCAAATAAAATGCCAATATATTCATTAGCTGGCAAGCATGTGATAATGCTGACATAATTTCATTTAACTGATAACTTGCTGATGGTAATAATGAATTATCATTTGTTTTTGTATCAGTTTCGATTCTTTGAAGAACTAAAATCATAAATAAATTTCTATATATCGCATCAAATTATAGTCTCTACAGTATACCGACTTTAGCACAGTGGGCAACCATGTGGACATTAGGTGAAAAAACGAAAGTGAGATTTTTCGAGATTTGAATACTCGCATATACTTCATCATACGCACTATAACTGTGCCACTGCAAGTTTTTTTTAGGCGTCAGTTTTAACGGAAAACTCGACGATGAATTCTTTTTAGGAAAACAGAGCAGCTAAGATAGAAAATCATTTTGCGACGAAACAATAGACGATATTTATTAAAATTTTACATGGTCTAAAACTAGGCATTTCGCTCTATCCATTCGTAAAAAAAATTGCTGTTTTGACCTTTGCATGACCGATAAAATTAGGTTTCTTTTTTTGCTACGTGTTTTCCGAAAATGTATGCTCAGTGTAACCGGTTTCCTATTTTTTCCGAAGCTTCAAATTCAACGAATTTTTTACCGAAGGTAGACCTACCAACGATACATATATACTGATAGCGCAAACTAGCGCAAATGCTCCTGGATCGGGTTATAGGTTTTCCAAAAAACCCTCGGTTTTTCAGATAATTTCGGTTTTTCTCAGTTTAGTAGCATTTAAATTAAAAAATAAGGTGATATTCGGAATCAGCGTGAAAAACTGTGGCGAATGCTGTATAATTCAGCCGTGTTTGTACTGAGAATTTTGAATTTAATTGATTCCTTTGTTACTTGCATGTGCGTATAGGGATTTCTGACTGAAATTTTAAAACTTGAAATTATCAACAGATAAAATCGTCTAAACACTATTGTAATAGGTTATCGATGATTCTCTATCCAATGCACTTATTTTCGAGTTTTTTAAAGGTTTTCTAAGTGGTTTTCTAGAGACCGAATCTCTGGAAAACCGCTTAGAAAACCCTTTTAGAATTAGAAAAGCATTCGATTAGATAGAGCACACAAGATAACCTGTAGAAAACGCACGTTTAAGTTTTCCTCTAGCTTGCAGGCCAAAAGTTCACGTGCCTAGTGAAAATTGCCTACTGTGTTTAGAACACGAATGTCAAGAGCGCAATATGTTTTACACAATGTTAGGCCGTAACGATATTAAGACGTCAAAATTCATTTTAATAGATATCTGGATTCATTAATTTATATTTTATGATTTAAACGATTACACTTCAAAAGAGAAAGCTCTTCAAATCGTTGTAGTACTTCAGAAAATAACCATTTTATTGGTTTATGGTTTAAGTTTTAATCTTGGACCAGAACGAAATCGAGAATATAAATTCCTATTATATCATCTGTTGCTTTGACTACTGAGGGATGAAGGTGACATAGTATGCATGTGACCAAAAATCAAAAGTGCGCTTTTCTAGATTGAAATAGGGAAAAATACACTTTGAGAAATGGGTTAACTATTACCCTAAGCTTTGTTCCAGCTGCCACAGATCATGGGATAGTATACTCAGCTAAAAATTAGCGTATAAAGACAGTCTATAGAATAAAAGATTTTTTTTATTCTACTTAACCAAGTTATACGTAAAAATGGTTTAGATGAAGAATCTAGACTGCTTCGGGGATATATCAGTGAAAAAATTTCTTATTTTGGACATAAAGCTCGAGATTTCAAAGCTGATTAAGTTTCTGTAGATGTGTGATTAGTGTAATGAGTTTCCTAAATTTTCCTAAACTTCAATCCGATCCCGAAAACTGCCAAAACGTTCATTTGTATACACACTGCATCTATGAAGGATGCGATTTTGTTCCTGGATCTCGGTATGAACGGTTTTCAACTCCTTTATAAAAAGAAAATAAGGTGGTAATCGGAATCAGTGCGCGAAAGTGCATCAAACATTTTCTAAGATATATTTTCCTGGTCGAAAGCTGAAGCCTTTTTTTTAATGAGAAAATAAAAATTTCAGAATCAGATTTTTTCTTGCGAGAATATTATTTTGAGGTATAGAGGGTCATTCTAAGTCAAAAATAATCATTTCCAAATGATAAAAAACTTGATGGCCGCCTGTTTAGTGAAAAAACGTTCGCTGCGTTAGTGTGTGGTGGTGTCGTTATGCCATACTGTGTGCTCGCTTTTCCATCGGTGCCCTTGCGTCCGGCATCCTAACATCTGGCAATCAATTTTTACAGTAGTTTATTCCACCGGAGTTTTTAAAACTTACGTTTGTCAAATGCATAATCACCATTTCTTGGCAAACATGAAGCAACAATACGAAATTTATCATTATGTGATCGATCATCATATTCCAACCAATGACCTGTGGCATCAACTGTCGTCTGTTGAGCATTATTGATCATAGCTTTCATTGTTGATTCAAAACTGGGAACGCTGAAAATGAAAAGAAAAGAGACTGTACTATGCTTGGCTTTGACATCATTATCACTTACTCTTCAGTATCAAGAACTTCTTCAATTGGAAATACATATTTATAGAGTTCATTTATTCGTTGTCTACGTGAATTCAACAATTTTTGCTCATTTTCAATTCGCAAAAGATCTTTCTTTTGAATATTATCATTTGATAAACGTACAATGATGTCAATATCATGTAATTTACGTTTGTAAGAATGTTTTTTCTCACAAAGTACAGTTATTTTGTCGCGTATTTCTTGCAATTGATTTTTATCTTAAAAAATAGAAATTTTTAAGTACTGAGACAAACGATGCTGAGATGTTACCTTTTTCCAATTGTTGTGTCATTTTTAGCATGTGTTGTTTTAGAATGCCCAATCGTTTTCGTCGAACAAGTATATCATCGGACTACAACAAGAATAGAATATGTGTACACGAGTAAATTCATTGTTACAATAATTACTTACAATCTTACGTCTTTTTAAAAAAGGTTGAATTTTGATTTGAATTCTAAATAGAAAAGAAAAGAATAACGTAGTGATAATGGCTATTCACAGTAATTACTTACTCATTACATAATTTTTCTTTTTCACTTGTGAATTTTTGTAAAAAATACATTCGATCACTACATCTAAATACAAAAAAAAGTTCATTTAACTTTTGAGTTTGGTTTTTTTATGTGATATCTATAAATCGTTAACGACATGTCTTCTTTTCTTCTCTCAATCAGGTCTGAATGAGAAAGATGGTAGATATGTAACGAGTTTTCGATGTTTTGATTAACAAAAAAGTATCTAAGTAGATACCAAGTGAGCAGGATAATATCCAATCACGCAAACATACAAAATGACTATTTTAACTCACTGTAAATGTATTTGTGCACTATTAGTTTTTCGTTGATGATATTCATCTAAATCTATACTGTTTAATAATTTTATATAAGTATTTCGACGTGTATTTGAACAATTTTCATGTTTTGAGTGACAAAATTTTCCATTATTTACACAATTGGCACACGTCAATAAACAATCGTCAGTTATCTTCTTACATAGATAACATTTGTAACAATTTGTTGATAATAATGTTGAATTATCTTTATACGATGATAATAAAAAATGATTTGGAGCTGAACTAATTACTGTTGTTGTCATCAAATTTGTATTTGTATTATAATGAGTTTGAAGATCGACATTTGAATCATTTATAGTTTGTTCAAGATAATCGTTTTGATAAGAAGAACTTTGTGACATATCTAAGAGGAAATAGAAGAAAAATAAATAAATATAATTTCTAATAGACATAATATCAAATAGTTTGTATAGTAGTTAATCATTTTTCTAACTTTGCTTAATTTTTTCCTATAACTATCTTTACCCAAAAGGTACCCTTAAACTGTAAGAGTAAGGCACATTATCTTTCTAACGTTTGTCAAAACTGATAGTCCATTACATCAGAGACGTACATAAGCCTTCTTCTTCCGATGTGCATCTTGTGAATGTATCATAGGCTGCTAATCATGAAAGCAATTGATTATTAATCAAGACAAGTTTGCTAGAACATATATGAAGTTTTTTTTATTACCACTAAAAACACTTTATCAATAATAGACAGTAAAGAAATAAACAACATCTGTTGATTGTACATGAATGAGAAACGATTTCAAATCATAAAAATATCACATATAAAAAATATCCTAAAAGTAAAATTTTGCTAGTATAAGACCGCTTAGATAGAGTAAAGATAAAAATAAAATGCAACAAACGCTCATTAGCTGCGTATATGCAGAAGAATTGAAATAAGTAGACAACAGATCTAACTGTGAAACTGAGACATATTAAAAAAACGATGAATAAATATTCAATAATTACCAGAAGTAAAAACAAAAGTCGTAACAATAAGAAAAATATGATAACAATAGACAAAATAACGTGATACAGCAAAGTAAAATTTGAAACAATGATTCTATCTCAAAAATTGAAATGAAAGACGAGTCATTAAAAGTAAAATGGTCTAACATTATTATTGAAAAGTCTTAATCTTGATAAATGAACCCGAAGAAAAATTTTCACAGATCAAAACATCTCTCAAATGTATGCTGTTTATGATAGCGTGACTAACGGGAACGCTTCAAATAATTTTTTTATAACATTAGGCGTGTTAGTTTCTTTATCTTGTTGTTTTATTTGTTGCAGTAATTGTCTTTCTTCATTTGTGGTTTTTATTCCTATTTGTTCTCCCATGCGAACCAACGTTTCCATTGAATTATTTGAATTGTGTATTAAATCGTCATCCCATTTAACAACGGAATCTTTAAACACAGCTACAATTGTCTAAAACAATTAAAAGAAAAACAATTTCTGTGCAACTCTCTTAAGTCCATGGCAATGACATACCGATCCACCGTATGCAAAATATCCAACCTCATCGCCTTTATTAATATGTTGTTCTTCTTCTACTGTAAAATTAATCGATCCAACTAGAAGTGCTCCGATTGCAACAAATCCGACAACACCAAATAACTCTTCACCCGTATCAATTGTAGTGACAACACGTTGATTTTTTGTAAGAACATCTAAATTTTCGTTAATTGCCACTGGATTCACTGTGTAATATGTTCCAGAAACTGTTTTCGCTTTTCCCCAAGTACCACTGACTGGACAATGGAATCGATGATAATCAGCTGGAGCTAAACGAAAAACAGCCAAAGAACCACCCTCAAATGATTTTGCCATTTCTTCATTATCGAATAAATGTTTCAATGAAAAATGATGTCCCTAAACAGAAAAAGAACAGTACGATTTAGTGTGTATTATATTTAGTTTATAAAAAGAATTCTTACCTTTATCCATATACGTGTAGCATCATTGACTGTATTGAATAGAATTAAACGGCAATCAGCAGAAGATACAACGACTGTCGGATCATCGACACGTGTAATTGGGCGAGCATCTGGTTTTAATTTACGATAGAAAAATTCATTAAAACAAGAATATTTTGATAAATCAGGTTCAAGTAATTCGTCGACATTTAAACGATACATTGTGACAAATGAATAAATATGTCTATGTGATTTTGGCTCATTAAAAGCTTTACCCAATCGTTTTGTTTCATTCTCAAAAAATTTTTTGACCTGACGTGTATGAAGTAATTCTCGTTGCATTGGTCCACTAAATAATAGTTTCATTCCGAGTTTATGATACGATGGCATTTGTTCAAGTATTAGTTGATTTGTCTTTCGATCTAGGACTTTGAATGCATAACGAACACTTTCACTTGTTCCACTGTAATTGAAATAATGACTGGGCAAAGTCTCGTGTAAGTGTTGACGTACAGTTTCTTTTTCTGGTACAACAGAGCGGAAAAAATAGCCATACCAATCTTTTGGAACATACGTGTGTTCAAAAATATGACCAGACCCATCAACACCATTCTCGGCCGTTTGTGTAATCATGGACGAAAAGGATTCTTGTATTTCTTTTGTTTCAGCATCATCAATGGGTAGTGATTGATTGATGAGACTGGAATCAGATTCTGAATGTTCCATTTATTTTCTAAAATAAACAAATATTAGTACAAAAATAATTGAGATAAAAAAGAAATTTTTGTACATATTAGTACATGAAATGTTCAGCTAACAGCCACATAAATTTCAAAATCATGATGTACATAACTGCATAATTCGCAGAGATGGGCGAGTACGAGTATACTCGAGTACAAAATTCCTAGTACTCATACTCCTACTTCTACTCGGGACTTTTTTAACGAGTATTTCAAAAAATACTCAAGTACTTCCCCAAAAACTGGTGACCTTTTTTTTACTATTTACGTATCAAAAAATCGATTTTTTCGGAATCACCGGCTTTAGAAAAATTTGATACTCGAGCAGTACTCGAGTACTTTTCAGAAAATACTCGTACTTCTTACTCGTAGTCAGAAATCTGTGTACTTGCCCATCTCTGATAATTCGTCGATAGAAGGACATAGAAAATGAATAAACATTTGATGTAGATTTTATTTAAACACATTACTATCACAGCATTCGACCGATGGTTCTTAAAGACTTAAATATGAAATACTTTCAACTTATTTCTAACAGTTTTCAGATGTAAAGCTAAAAATTTGATATGATCAGTTGCTTCGTTACAAAAAAGAAGAATCAATAATCCCGTTCTTTAATATTCTATTGCATCTGTCTCTTTCTGTTCTTAACAGATAACATTTTATCAATAATCCAGTTTTTTTATTTATGATTGCAATAAATATTTCAAATACAAAGTGAACAACAAAAAATGCACTAAAAAGAAAAAAAAAGAAAAAGAATATCATCATCGTAAACAGAACAAAGAAAAAACAACAACAAAACATATTTTGTCACAGTTTATTTCTGGGAAGAAAAAAACGAAAAACAGAAATAATATCTAAAAAAACTCATGCAACTATCAAAAAAGTAACAATACACAATCGCGCATCGTCTTACTTTTTTTCTTTGCAATGAGTCACACAGAAGCACGGCTCTTTTTTTCATATGTAAGCTACGTAACAATTTATTTGCTCATACAAAAAAACAACAATAACGCATCAAGATCAAAATGAAATGAGACTGAGAAGAAAAACAAATGAAATACATCTACGAATTTTAAGATCGTTAAAATAAAAAAAAATCGGCAGATGTAGAGAGAGAGAAATCATTCTAACGTTGAAAAACGGAGCAATTCTTTCGAGTTTAAAATGGGAAGAAAATGCAAACGCTGTTATTATTGGGTTTTTTTTTGGTTTTTTTTGTAATTACATAAAACACTGTCATTCAATAAAAGAAAAACGCGTTTAGAATCTCATTCGTAGAATGTTTGATCGAAAAATAAATAGGATTTAAAAAGAGAAGCATCTTTTCCCACAAAGATAAACGGGAAGAAAGCACACAAAGCATATTGTCTTCTATCGAGTATGTTTAAAACACCCAAAAGAAAAACATACACTAAAATAAACAAACAAACAAACCAACAAACAAATATGAAAATAAATTACAATAACTACAACAAAACAACTTCGTTTTTTCTTGGCTAACGAAAAAAAACAACAACAAATAAAATGAAGTCTTTCCAATACATTATAAAACAAAGAAAGATAATGTTCTTTGGATGTAGTAATAAAATAGAATCTATTTAATGAGCTCAACAAAAACAAGAGAAAATGACGCCACTTAAAAGGGCGATACACACATTTAAAAGTGGAAGATATTTACTAAAGATATAACACATTTTTGTCAATTTAAATTAGAATAATGCTCTTTTATTGATCTGACTAATAATAACAAGGGAAACTCGCTCAGACTAAAAATAAAGGAAAAAAAAAAAGTTATATTGGATGATAGTTTAATGCTCAATGAATAAGTTCGGTCGTGGTTGTTGGTGAAGTGGGTGAGGATGTTGGTATTTTACACAATTGATCATGATATAATGGAAAATCAAAATGATCATATGAATCGCATACAACTGCTGCCGTTGAGGTTAATTCTTGACATAAATCATGAAAGAATTGTTCTGTTTCTTCTAAATAATTTGATGACGAAGAGATGGTATTTGTACATGGAAACGTTAATAATGGAGGGGTCGATAACAGTTTTTCTTTTTCTTCACAAATTCGATCAACTAGTAAACTATCATCATTTGATATAGATAAATTTTGTTCCGTTGTTGCCATTCGTTGACGTCTTTCAGCTCCAATAACTCGGTCTGACGACAGTGAATTCGAACATTCATTTTTAATGATAATTTGTTGTTCTGTATCCATTGATTCTAAATCATTATGTTCTAATAATATACCATCATTATTGTTTGATGTGATCACTGTTGATATTTGAGATTGTTTACTAGAATCACATTCTTCAATATCCATTTCAGTTGAATTAACATCTAGCATCCAAGATGTTTGATCATTTTCATTATCTTGGATTTCATGTTGTGCTTCTTGAGATGAATCATTTTCAATTTTTTTTAACAAATTCCAGACTAATAAACGTTTTCTCAATGATGCTTCGATTGGTCGACTTCTATTGCTAATATTTGGACGTTGTAATTTTTCATAAGACAATAGTATAAAAAGATTTCTTTCCATCATGACCATGATACTATTTTGTGATGAAATCTATATAGGAAAAGATCAAAAAAGAAATGTACTTAAAATCAAGAAAAATAAACAGATCTTCCGTTGTCAAGAGACAAGAAAAGTACATCAGTATAAGACAAATGCTCTTTTCCATTATTTTTTGGTAAAAAAAATATGGTTTACATGAAAAATAAGTTAAAAATGGTATTTTTGATCATTTAATTACAAACAGGGCAAAAAATTTAAGAAATTTCATCGTAATATAATTATTCTATATCTTTAAGTATCTCTTATCGTCGTCTATTTACAAAGATTTCAATCCAAGGGAGAAAGGAAATTTTTTTTATTACAGGATCTTCTAATACTTTCGGCCACTCTTCACTCAGTCTAGTATTAGACACTTCTCTTACCCTCTTTGTTTGCATCTCGATCGAAAAGAACAGCAAGAAAAACAGCTCTACCTTGAATGCAGAAAATATTAGTGTAGACAGTAAAACTCACAAGTTTTGTACATGTAAAAAGAGATAAAGAACAATTACATAAGTATGACACTGAGGTTACTCATCCGCATATTTCAAAATATTGCGAATCCGAAATAGAAAAAATATACCAAATTTGTTTGCATAGGTACGATACGACTTTTCGTCATCAGAATAACCTTTTTACTGTTCCTAAGGGAAAATTTTTTTCATCATCTTACTTCTAACTTTTGTTTGTCTTCTGTTCTTCAACAAAGAGACAACTTGATTAAAATGGGAAAAAAAAGATTCCAGAAAAAAAAGAAAAAAACGTCATATGATCATCATACACTGTTGGAAGAACTGATGACCATTTAAACAGCTGATTTCCTTTGGACACGCATTTAAATTTCAATATGCGATTCATAAAATTTATTATTTTATATGTCAGTTTCGTAAGTATAAAAATATGAACATTCACGCGTAAAGGTGGAAGGTCATTGCCACCTGCTGTTTATTCAGCAGACCAAATTTAATCGATTAAGTAATATTCTACTGTTTTTCCAATGGTCGAAACGTCGAAAAAACTTTTTCTGAAATTTTTTCCAGTAATTTTCGTTCTTCATTTTCTGCACTGATATTGTTCAATTCTTAATTGATTCAAAAAAGTTCAACTGACTTCAGTTATGACGGAATTTTTCAGTCCAATCTTCTTTCGATAAAAGAAAAAGGTTTAACTTTACAACCAGGATCAATCAGAACAACTTCTCCAATTTAAAAGCGGTTAATAAAACTATTTGCTAATAAAACGAATAAAAGAGCACGACAGTTTCTTAAAACTTGCAACTCCGTATGCATGACATCCTTTAAAGGAAAGAAGTAGTGTGTATCTGCCTTCAGAAGTATTAGATGTAATTGAGAGTTCATATAACAACGTTCGAGAGCTCCACTTATAAGCTTTTAATAAACTTTCTTGTTTATTTATCTTAGAGCCCGAGTGTATTGTGTTGACAGGTGCCAGTTTTTCGAATGTGAAACAAACATTTCACAATGAAAAAGAAATATATGATGAAATTAAAGAATTTTTCTTTTCACAAGATAACTCAACAAACCCGTAAAAAGTTACACAACTACAGAAAGTCCAATGGCTTCTTTTGTTTTAGAATATTCAAGCATGATCCCAACTAGTCATTACTACCAAACATAAATGTTATAAGAACTATTGAACGCAATTAATAAACATATTAAATAATAATAATAATAAATAATATTAACGCAGTCATTTTGAGAATGACAAAATTGTTTTGTAAATAAAAATAAACAAAAACAGCTAACGATTTGTAAAAATGCCCGCTGCTTTGAACGAAAAGTACTTACTTTATCTTATTTTAGTAAAACTTTCAGAAATGAAAATGGACAAATTTTTTAGGTCTGTTACTGACAAGCAAAGAAGTTTACCTATAAAAATATAACTAGAGCCTGCATAGACGAGATCCAATTCAAAATCACTCATTTTCGAACAGTTTATTCAACCTCACTGAAGAGTTACTAACAGACCACAGCTTTCTGCATAGAAAATCAAATTCTCGTCTAAGGTACAAAAAGACAAAGAAACTAAGAAGCAACAGCCTGAAAAGCGTTTCGCTCATACTTAATTTAAGGCAAAGGCGTTTCTTCCAACAGCCATAGCCTTAAAATTACTTAAAATACCCCAATTGTCAAAAATATACAACAGTTCACTAATAATGAAGAAGAAAAAATGCATTGTCATCCACTATTTCATTCTAATAAAATCACGTACAGATACAAAAAAATTGGATATCTGCTTCATATGCTAATCATGAGAACTACGTCTCTCCATTCCGGATAAGATCACGCCGTTCATAAGGTATAGAAGAGAACGAATATATATTTGTTACGGTAGAGGTCGGACGTATACTCAAAGAAACGTTCTGTTCATCTTTAGCATTATGCTACGATAACTATTGAGAGATTAACATAAACTGTTTTAAAACGCCTACTTTTATTGAAACTTTATGTAAAAATCAGAGGGCTTTACGCACTCCCTACCCCTATAGTCTCGCTACTAAATAGCAACGTTCATTATCGTCATATTTTTCCAACCTATTTATGCACTTTCTTTCTTCGCCTTCGCTTTTGGTGTTGCTCCGAAACTGTCTATGCACTACATTCCAATGGTATAGAAAAGGAGAAAACTCTAACATAATCAAATAATCGATGTCTTGACGATAGTAGTTTGATTGAATATCATGAGAAAGCTGAATGATGTACTTTTTAGCACTAGTATGTTTGGTGTAGATACGTTAAACGGACAAAAAAGTTAAGCACAAAACTAAAAATTAACTGAGAAATGGAAAAAAATTGCGTTTTGTGCTTAGGTTTTGCGTTTGGCTTTATAGATCTACATTAGATAAACTTATCCACATGTCCAAGGACAAACTTTGATTCCAGTGAGTTATTCATAACCATGGATGTAAAAAGTTTAGAAAATTTCTTGAAAATGGAGAGCAATAAGGAAACAAACCATATTTTTATGGATATTTGTTGTTTAGACTTCTCCAATATTTTACCGTGTGGTATACTATATTTTACCTACTGAAAGGAAACTATGTAATGTTCTGAAATAATATTAAAAAAATGTTTTCTTCATGGGTTTTCCCCCAAAGTTTTCCCTTTTGTCATGGATACATGAAACAAGGCGACCGGGCTCTTCATGCAGATTCCTATCTAACTTATCTCGACCGAACTCAGTTTAAGAAAGATGTACTATCTTCTATCATAACAAGGCATTTTAACATTTCATCAACCGGTATTCATCTCCTTAATGTTTGTAAGAACAAGGAAATTTAGTGATTAGTTGTATCTTTTGAGTGTTCTTTTGTACCTAAAAATAAAATTAAAATGGCTTAAAATTACCTTATTTGGTGTTACGAAAAACTAGTCATATTAGAAAAAAGATGCTACTAGAACATTATAGTTTATTATTTACACGTTTTCAAGATGAAAAATTTTTTGTGCCGTTAATGTACAAATGACGCTTAATGTATGACACACTGGATTTTGAATTGTATATTAGGTTTTTTCTTTTCAATGTCAACTATCAACTACTTAGATATTTTTCACAAAAACCTGTGATTGCGAATTTAAGTAATTTTTCCATTCTTTCTGTAATATCTAGGTATGCACTGGTTATAACCGATTAAAATTGTGTACTTTTTTTGTCGCAAAAAGTTTTTCTCAACAAAAACTGGTTTTCTAAAATTTTTCTAACAACTGGGTTTCGTAGAGCAAACATTTTTCTACAAGATGAGCTATTGGAGTGTTCTTCGTCTTGATCCAGTACTCATAAAATTTTGCAGCATTTTTTCATGAAGGCTTCCGTCATAGCTCATCTTGTAGAAAAATGTTTGCTCTACAACTCTACAAACCCAAGTTGTTTTAAAAAAAATATGAGTACTGTTCATGCAATCCACTGCAGACGAAAGGTGAAATTTATCGATAATAACCGGTGCATGCCTACTGGTATCAGATAAAATTAGAACAATATTTAAATAGTATGCCTCAATAATTGCGTTCGTTTATGTGAAATTATAGCGCAAACAATTACAGAGTTATTACTGAAGAGGTTATCAACATGAGCTTGCCATTTTGGTATACAAATTAGACACTGCCTTGATTATACATTGATTATAACAAGATTACTACGCTAGCGACAGAGACTAGAAATAATCTTTACACTGCCAAAAAAGTGAATGTGGTCTATAAAAACCTTGTAAGCATGAATGGATCATATTCACTTCATTGAGCACGCCTATCATTTTATTCTATCGCTTAATCAATCTAAAGTTTAACATAGGAAAGAAATATATTTAGTGTGTGAGCTTTTACAGACACCCTGTATAGGTCTATGGTACGTGGTGCAGCAGTAAATACCAAAAGATAACAAAATCAGTTTTCCCCAGAAAAACAAACTTTAAAACTGCTTTCCTTGCAGATCACACGTATCATACGTCATGTAGAAAATCTCGAATGAAGATTTTAAATAAACTTGAATGATTTCCTAAGTGTCTGCTCCGTTATTTCACAATCTTATGTAGTTTTATCAACATCTAATAAGACCTTGAGATGATACTGTTGACCAAGACTGTTTTGTCGCAGAAATTCTGTCTTAAACAAACTTGAGTCAGATCTTGATCTGATTTGGGAAAACTTTTCTGAATGATATAACGTATTGCCATTAGTTAGGCATCCATCGGTTATTGCTGGCTAACCGACGAAAACCGACCATAACCGATAGGTTTTGTGTAAAAGTCCTTCAAAGTTTTTTGTATCAAAAATGCTTCTTTAACTGAGAAACAGAACCGATGCCTGTATAGCATTAGTAAGAATCTTGGGAGGTTTCTAATTTCAGCACAAGAATCTTGAATTGTATTTTTTTGCCGTATCATTACAGTTTAAGCTCTGCAGTGCTCTACATAGAGTACAAGACGTATAACCTCTGGAATTCTGTAGAAACAGTAGAGAAATTGTTTAAACTGC